CTAACTACAGATACATTAACTTCACATTTTGTTTTGGCTAGTCTAAATTTTGTTTCAAAGAACTTCAAAATCAATTTAGATGAACAGTTAGCTGACTGACTTAAAGATATTGTGAACAGCAACAGGGAATCCAAAAGTTGTTCCTTTAGCTGTTATAAAAAATTATTTGTCACTTAAATCAGTACCTTTAAAATATATTATATTTGAGGATGTCCTTTCGGCTGCTACTAGGCTTGCTTCTATTTTGTACATTTCAAGGGATTTGTAGATGTCCAAATGCCCACTATGGAGTACTCGTAATTCTGGAAAGCACAGTTCACATCTCACTTTGTTAGTACAAATACAAACAATTTTTTTTTTAAATGGATAACCCTTTTGTATAATTTAATGTGTGATACAAAATAATTGCAAATGCCAGCTTGCAATTTGAACTCAAGCTATACAGGACATGCAGAACACTGACATGGCCAGTGTAAGTTCCAGTGTTGTGAACTCTAATTGAAACAAAATATATAAATAAAGAAATAAAAATATCTGAATTTCATAGGCTATATGCTATTATGAATTATCTGCAGAAAAATATCTATATGAAAAAATAAAACATCTAAATTCATTATGCCACATGCTATAATTTTGGGAAAATCATTTAGACAACATTAAAGTACTTAGATCTTGATGCAAAATATTTAGATTGGCTGGTACAGGTTGAAACAAAGCTGACTCCTGAGCATCTGAATAGCCATGTTACAAAGTGCAGAGCATTGCTAAGTGCTGAGCTTCCACCCTAGATGGAATTCCAAAGGAAATGGTTCCAGGGGATCCGATCTGAGGGTCTCTCACCCCTCTTGCCTTACCATCAGACCATGGAGGTAGGAAGTAAATGGAGTCGCCCTAAAAATTTCTTCTTTTTAACCCGCAACCCTGAAGCAAACCTGCGATCCCTCGTGGTGACCAAACATAGGGTCATTTACCTTTGAGTTCTATGGGATTTGAGGCGTTCAGTGTAATATTTGTAATTACACACAAATATACATATAATGTATATATTTTCTTTTTCTACAACACTGTATTCTTTTTCTTATTTTCCAACACTGTATTCTTTTTCTACAAGCACAAGTATGAAACACATATTTTTAAAACAACATTTCATTCTCATGGAATTAATTAATGCTAAATACACAAGCTTTTCCCCTACCCCCCTTTTTTCCTTCTCCCTGGTTAATTTGAATGAAATAGTTTCAACAAGTTTCCGTAATTACATTAAAAAAAAATTAAGGTAATTCGATTTTATATTATTATTCGGTTAAGTACAAAATTAAAGATCAAGTTATTGGTTATTAATAGTAACATTAATCATATTTCTTTTCTCTTTTCTCTTCTTCCTTTTTTTCTTCATGCATCTTTTTTCCTTTTCTCTCTTTCTTAATTGCCTATTCAATTTTAATAGATAATATTGGAATTAGCGAAATACTTAAATAAGTATTTCGCTAATTCCTAATAATTAAATAGGTATTAAATAGTATTTGACTTTCTCTGAACATTTCTGAAAGGGAATAAAATAAGTTTTTTTTTTTTTTTTTTTAAGTATATATTTAAAACTTGTAACTGAGTTATTATAAAATGTAAAGGGAATAATTCTTTTAATTATACTTATCAGATTTTTTTTTTTTACCCTTCATTTCAACATACATATTCCAAACTCTTTATTACGTTCTTAAGTGCGCATCTCATAGCATTTGCTTTACAATACCTTTTAACAGATTGCTTTCCAATACGAACAATTCTTGCTTAAATAGTTTTATAACGTATTTTGTCAACAGGATTTCAATTTATGTTTACAATTCAATATTAAGGTTTTTATATATTTAGATAACATTTATAATCATTATAAATTAGATACATTTAATCATTAGATTCTTCACGTACTTCACAGTTGTTTATAAGTGAATAAATTCTTCATTTCAAATACATTTATAAATAATTTAATGATATTTAAGTATTTTGTCAAAGGCAGATACATGCTTTTTGCAAGCACATGCATAAATACCCATACATATTTCCTATTTATCATTTCCGGCATGTGCAAATCTTTAATTTCTGTGCATTCACTATATTTTTTCGTGTAAAGTAATTTACACTAATTTAGCATACACCCGAAAGTTTTACATAAAAATATATATGAATATAATTTGAATGAAAATTATAAGTATTATTTTTAATACCCACTCAAAGGTCATTTTTTTCTTCAAAATTCCTCCACGATGGCATCTCTCTCTTTAGGTAGATAGCCCTTGCATGCGTTACTCTATTTAATAAAAATCTTAATCTGACCTATGTGCCTAATTACAAATATTTTAACATACATAATTTTATATTTACATTTAGCCATCAAGTTTCAAACTTTTCAAATCTTCTAGAAAATAAATTTTGGCAGATCTCTTTTAGCAATTTTCTTAAAATCTATATTTTTGTAGTGCAACAGCTTAGAATTTTATAAAACAAATTCATAATCAAAATCGCTGTTGTTAGTTATCGAAAAATAACCAAGATGTGATTTTTTGCGTAAATGTCAGTAAACTATACAAATTGCTATTATCCATTACACTATGAATGTTTCTTTCATGCGAGAGTGTCCCTTTTTCGATTTCTATGGAACTGTCGTGTGTCAAAATACTATCAGAATCTTGTCAAGCGAGCTTCTGAATGTAAACAAAGAACACCCTGTCTGGTGACCCAAGCTTCAAAGCAGTGCTTCACTTCTAGCGCGGAATGGCCCCTCCTCCCTTTCCTACCTCCATGCATCAGACACTCTAGAAGATTTGAGCTTGCCATATACTTAGAGTGTGCCTTTGCCTCACAAACACAATACACTTACAAACATATATGGCTTCTCTGGAATTCAAGTCTGTGTTCTTTGATGTGGCAGTTTGTGTCACTAACCATTAACCACATGGACGGTGATTTTGAATCAGCAACAGTTAATGTAACAGAGTGAATATTTTAATTGCAATTTTACCCAAAGCTGTACTGTTTTTACATCTTGTATATCTGAACTGTTTTTACATCTTGGCCCTTTTAAATTTTACCATATAATTGGGATAAAATGACAAACTGGCCTGGGTGCATGGAACAATCAAAATTAGACAGCCCCAGTCAAATAATGTCATCTGATAAGCCTACTTATTAATATTTTTACAAAGTTCTATTGCTTTAGAATATAATTTGATAAAGGTAAAAAATCATCCAAGTAGAAATATTTTTCATTTTTAATTAATGCTATTGATATTACGATTTGGCTATGTGCCAGTTCTGAAGTCTGTGATTGTTTTGTAGAATACAAATTCCAAAATATTCTGTATATAAGATCTCCATTTTGAAAAAAAGATATATTGCTAATTTCACAGTAATCTGTATAGAAATACTGTAATAGAATACTCTTAATCTGTTAACATCAGAAATCATTTTATAAACTGGTGTTTTATTTTTAGTTGTGCATATATGCAAACATTTTGCTCTTCAATATGTGTATGGCTACTGAAATGATCACCGATTTGTAATATTAGATATCTCATGTTATATTTGAATCAAACTTTTTTTGTTTTGTTTTTTATAACGAGTACAAAATTTTCCTAAATATGAGTATATTAATGGGAAGAACATGTAAAAGTAATTTCTTTTTTGTAATTTCTATGAAATGGAATGTTTTTTTAATTTAAAAAAAATGCTAAAATGTGGATCTTTGTGTATTTGGAAGTATATATCTGTGACCAACAGTTACAAAAGTAAAGGCCAGGTAAGGAATTATACAGACACAGTCTATAATAATGCATTATTTTATAAGTGAGCGCTAAGTATCATTATAATTGAGTAATGATGATAAGAAAGGTAACTGCTATAAAATTAGCCTCATTGAGAAATTAGAATGAACGAAATGCTATGAAATTAGAAACCAGAAGGGTTATAATGATATATCTTTCATATGAATTGTGCTTTGAAAGAAACTGAGTCTCATTGACAGAAAATTAGTTAATCAGTGTAACAGATTTTCAGGATGCTTATTCATCTTTAAAACTTAAAGCATCATGATATTAATATTGCCTTAAATTTTGATGAAAAGATGTCTAAAATTTTAACAAAAATATACAATAATAATAAATAAAATGGCAGTAATGGAAGATTTTAATAGTTTTCTCAATAGTGCAAAAGCTGATTGAAAGGTTTTGAGACTATTTCTCATTTCCAGTATTAGATATGGTATCCATGTACTGGATTTTGTAAAGATTATATAAAATTCTGTTCCGGTTGGTCATCCATTGTGTTTATCAATGTCAATGTTGCACACTCTTGGGTAATCAGTTAACAATGACTGTTATGTAAATATTTTTAAAATGAGATGCGGGGAGCCATGAGGAGGAAAAAACTGGATCAAATCAAAAAACTATGATTTTACTCTTAATTCTCAATTGTATGTTACTGTTGTGAAATTTGCAACATTGTCCGAAATTGATCTATCAACTCTAGAATATGCTGCATGGAGCCTAGGCATTATGAAATGTGATTTCTGGGCCATCTTATTCATAAAAAGGCATTTACAAGGCAAGAGGTTCTGTTCAGACAAGAAAGTGAAAATGCTTCTGGGGCAGTAATGTCATAAAGCTCTTTTTTTCTGTTTTTGAATTATTTGTAAAATACTATGAAATGTGTAATTCAGTATAAAGAACTTGCGTTTAAAAAAGGGAAAGACATATATATAAGGTCCATAGTGTCATAGACTCTGAATTAAAAGATTAGTCTCAGTCATCTTATGTGTATTATATTGGTCAAAAGCAGATAAGTTAATTTTTTTTAATCATCAGTCTTGTATGTGAAATGTAAATTTCAATACCTTTGTTAATTTATCTATTATAATGTTGATTGGTTAATTTATTTTTACAGGTTGTGTGATTGATTTTCTCATAACTTTAGTGATATTGGACAAAAGTGTATGTAAGGATAATCATTTGGGTCTCTTTCTTGGTTCTTATGGTGCTACAATGAGTTCTATAGGTATGAAATTAGATTTAATAATTTTAATCCTTTTTAATTAAAAATGGAAGTCAAACCCTAGTTATCATTATGTTGAAAAATTGTGTCTCAACTCAGCTCCAAATGTGTTGTACCAGAAATGGGGGGACCTTTTCATCATTAGAGGTCACATTTATATTAGGCTGTAATATGGGAAGCCACATAAGCCGATAAACCTATAAATGCAATTTTTTGTGAAACTATTACAGTTGCTGTGAAGTTTTAAGTTTATTGCACTATATAGAAATAATACAAAAAAAAGTAATTTATTATTATTTAACATAAAAAGTCACAATATAAAAATTTTGTGTTTCACTAAGGCTAATAACTTTTTATAACATTAATTTTTATTCAACTACATATATTTAAATACTACTACTTCAAATAAAAATAATATTTTTTAAATAAATTTATTATATTATGAAGAAATACAGATGGAAAATAATAAATTATGTTATTAAAAAATTAACAGAGCAAAAATGCATGAAATGATTTTAAAATCTGATGGAAAATTCAATTTAGTGAAATTCTTGCATTAATTTTTTGTTTGAAAGTAATTGAATATTTGAATGAATGAATGAATAACTATGAAGCTTGCTTCATAATGTGCAGCTTTAATTTAATGTCTAAATGAGCATATGTAATTTGTGGTCTTAAATTAGCTTTAATTTTTGTGATGAGAGAAAATGTTGACTTGCAGCAGTGAGTACTTCCAAAGCAGGAAGGCAAACTACGTGCATGCTGTCTTAGGCATGGATATTTACCAGATTTCTGTGAGATCTGTTTTAGTGTCAGAAAAGAGATTTGAAGATATTACCATCTCCCATTTTAAATAACTCCATTTATAGTTTTGTAGGAGCTTTAAATATATTTACTAAGTGTTCATTTTTAATAAAGCAATGAATCCTTCTTTATCTGTCATGGAAGGTGGGCCATCGGTGTAAACACTGACTAGACTACCATCTAATTATAATCGATGGTATACTTCTCTAAAGTTTTTTTAAATGTCAACTCCACAAGTTCTTCTTGTTAGTGTATCCAGCTTAAGAAGTTCTTTGTAACTCTGAAAACCTTTAGTTACAGAATGAATAAATTTAAAACTTGTGCTGAGACAGTGTTATCAGAGCTTTCATCTAAAGCAATTCAAAAACAAACATCTTCATTTTGTATAATTTTTTGAAGTTGCTCTGTTACATTGAGCTAATTTGTTCTATTAATCTGTTATAGTTCTTCTTGAAAGAAGCAATTATTTGTATTTATCAACTTTTTTGGAATCTAACATACCTACTGCTCCAACAATACATTCTTTAAATAATTCTATGCCACTTAATGATTTACATCTTTTTTCAAGTATATGTGGTATTTTATAAGTAACATCAACTGTAGTAATATTTTTCATTACAAAGCACTAAAAGATGCCTGTTGATGATACCTTTCATTTTTCAGGTTTTTAATTGCAGCTTGTTAAGAATAACCTTCTAAAATCAAATATTTGTGATCTTTATGAGTCAAATTGTGTTTATTTGCACTCACTTTTTTTCAAAGTAGTTAAAACTGTTTTGCATTATAAACACTTTAAAGAAAAAATATAACTCTCATTGTACATTAATTATTCTGTTTTCTTCATTTAATTTACTTCTCTAACAATTTGACATGACAGAGAGAAATGAATATCAAATAATATCTTTGAGATAGCATATACTTGCTAGTAATACAATAAAACTGTGTACTAGTAAAACCAAAGAATAAGTAAAAAGATAAAATCTAGATTTTCACAATGACCAGTACCAGTACAAGAAAAGATTGCTAAAAGCAGAAAAATTGTTCTAAGGAGTTTTTTCTTCTGAAAAGTTTTGAGGATGTGATACGACCTTTAAATGCACATATAACTACAGATATCCAACTCCGCAACATGCAGTGGAATGCTATGGGGTGTGAGGCAGGGGGGGGAAGTAGGTACTTAGATTTCAAGCTGTGAAAGATGCCAGAGCTGAAGAACTGCAGCATTCTAATTCATGCTATGTTCAATAGATTCACTTAATTCTATCTTGGTCATAACAAAAGTTTTCTGCCAAAAAACTTTCTTAACAAAGTTAGGGGGGGAAACGTGAAAGCAGTACCTTTAGTGCCAGAGCTGAAGTAATCACCACACAAATCTATGATTTTCTGCTACTGTTTTGGTAGCTTTTGGTAACTTTGGAAACGGAAACTTGATGGTCACGAGTCCAGAAGTAGATCAACCTTGTTTCAGACGTCCTGTGCAGAATGGAAGATAGCACTAGGAAGATGTAGCTGCAGGTGAGAAAAAAGGTAGAAGTCCAAAGAAGCGATGTAGGGGCTATGTGGAGGATGTGACAAAAGATCATATTCTATAGAGACAGCTGGTGAATGCAGACACATGTGGTCCAGCATTATCTTGATGGAGCATTTCCTTTTTGTGGCAGAGCTCAGTTCGACACTTTTCCTGTTAGCAGCATCATCATGGACTAGCATCGTGCTGTACACCTTAATGTTGAAGGTTTTACCTTTTTCCAGATACTCTTTATCAATAATACCACAGCAATTCCACCAGGTACAAAGCATGATCTTTTTCTTAGTCAAACTGCACTCTGTGATGCTGCTGACAGGTTCACCAGGCACAGACAAACCCTCTTTTCGCCCTGTATTGTTCAAGTAAATCCACTTTCCATCACAAGTGATGATCCAGTCCAGAATTTTTTCCTTGTGTTGATATTTGAGCTAATTAATGCAGGCTCTAACAATGTGTATCTTTATCTGCTTAAGTCAGCTCATGTGGCACCAATCATTTGAACTTGTACGTCAAGTCTATGCATGCATAACGCAACTAATGTTTAGTCGATTTTTTTTTTTTTTTTTTGGTTTGAAGTTATAATTGCTTAAGGATTATAATAAAAGAAACTTAAAAAAAAAAAAAAAAAAAAAAAAAAAAAAAAAATGTGTTTGCAATTTGTGTCTCTGTGTTATGAATTTAGCTCTTCTCAGATTTTCGTCCATGATTTATAAATTATCATTATAAAATTTTAATGTGGTAAAGAAATTTTTAATGAATAAAATCGTTCAAGAGTCTAAGAATTGATATAGTTTATCTGAAAATAATTGATTAATGTCCTGGGATTTTCTCTTTAAATGATCTTTTATCATTCCACAATATTTCATGACACAGTTTTCTTTCTGTAAATATCTCTAGTGGGAGGGGGACTATATTGAAGGTCTTAATGCGGTAAAGATTATTTTATTTTTAATCTGAAAAAAGTATAATATCAATGAATAGAAAGCTAAGTACCAATATTAAGGTTCTAGTAGGAAAAAAGAAAAATGTAAAAATTGAATGCTATTAAAAAATTTAATATACTTTTCTATCATATAAATTCACTGCATTCAAGTTCCTTTCAGTTATGAAGTAATGAATCATTTTTGAAATTCAGATACATCTCAAATAGATTTTGTAGCAATTTAAGTCAGTGTTGTGGGAAAGCATTCATGTTAATGTCACTCAGAAAAATTTATTGATCAGAATAGAAAATGAAGTAGTTAAATATAAAATAAATAAAATTAGTAGTTTATTAAACTGCATTCTAAAGTAATGTGTTTTATTTAGTACATAAATGACACGCATTTTCATTTGTATAATACGACGAGTAGAAAATTTTTGAAGAGGTTATCTTTTTCTCTGGGCCTAATTATTAATCCTATCATTCTTCCCAATACATAATACAATGAGTGTATATAATTAAAAATATGGTAAACATCAAAAATTTGAAATTTTTTGTTTTAGAAAATACAATTTAAACTTTTAATCTGGACTCGTCGGACAACGATTAATAATCTTTTTTGTTTTTTTTGTTTTTTCTTTTCGGATTATAAGATGAATCTTTAAATTTAATCTGGTAAGATGGCAATGCAGTAAGATTAGAAAATTAAAAATATGAAACTGTAATTTATGAAAATAAAGAGCAATTTATGATCTAAAGGGTCCAAATTTCAAAACAAAAAAAAAAAAAAAAAAAAAAAAAAAAAGAAAAAAAAAAATTTGTGTTTAATTTGTTAAACATTTCTTCAATGCTCCTGCGTAAAGCTACATTATACATTGTGAAATTAGAAAATTGCAAACCAAAACTATTTGATGTGTATTTGTGATATTTATAATGACAAGGAATTTGATTTAAATCATATCAAAGACTGAGTACATCGAGATGAAATACTACATTTAGTAAAGAATTATAAGCCAAATAAAATAAAAACATCTGCCCTGAAGATAAGGATAGTGCTGACAGATCAACTTCCAGTTCAAATTGATAAACAGATTTCGGAGTGGTTAGAGAAACAAAGGATATGCCTTTATCCATTTTTTGCAGCAATTCCACTTTTGTTTGCTGGACATCGAAACATGCTTTTGCTTTGTAGACCCTTTGGCAGCTCCAGAATCGAAAATTCTTTTTGACATAATCGAAAGTTCAAGCTTACTTTTATAAAATTGCTCTAACAGTCTGCAAAAAATAATAAGCCGGATCCATTTCGAAGATTAAGGAACAATGCTATCTGCAACATTAACTGAAATAGATAATTAGATAATTTTAGCTTAGCTTATACCTTCTGTTATACATTAAACGCGCAAGGGTAAAGGTATTATGCGCATGCGTAAACGCTGCGCAGAAAGTTTGTAGCTTTGAGGTCCAGATTAGGCAGACTGAAATTAAACAAAAATAATCCGAAAGCACTTACATTTTTGTATCATATTCTAATGTTTAATTTAAGTAATGAACTGGTCGACTTCACATATAAAACTATTGTGTGTTTTGTATCAAATAATAATATCTTCTTTATTTGTTTCCACAAATTGACAATTAAGGATCATATTTGTATAATTTTTGTAATTATCTTTTAGCAATTTCTTGGCAAATTTGAACCAGATTTTTTTTAATTTGAACTCAACTGCAAGATTGTTGAAATTTAGTGCTTCTTGCTGTGAAACACTAAGTTCATTTATTCCTTTATTTCACATTCTTAAGTTAAGCTATGTACTAGTCGTCATAATTAGTTACTGAGATTATTAAAATATTAATTAGAAGCACTGTTTGTTTTTGTTTTAATTTTAAAATGCTTGCTAAGTTTTCGTTTGGATATCTTTATGATATTTAAGTTTACAACACTGGCATAGGTAATTTAAATTAAAATTACATCATATGATAATTCTAAAGGAAAGAAAGATATTTTTTAGATAATTTGCCTTTTTTCTTAACTATCAGCAAGGAATTGTGTTTGCTATTGTCTTAGAAAAGTAATTTTTGAGTATCTTTGTAACTAATTTGGTAGCAGATTCATTTTTCATTTTACATCTAAATTCCTGGAACTTGTTTGTTTAGTGTTTATTTGTTGTGAAACCATTGGCTTCTTTATACAGTCAAAAGTCGTTAATCCGGACTCGTCGGGACTTCGGCGATTCCGGATTATCGATTTTTCCGGATTATAGATCATCAGTTTAAATCTGGTAAGATGGCATGCAAAAATTACAAAATAAAAATATGAAACCGTAATTTATGAAATAAAGAACAATTATGATCTAAAGGGTATCAAAATTTACAAAAAGCTTAATATTTATTTGTTTACTTTATTAAACATTTTCTTCAATGTAAGTTGCTTCGTTTCATGTGATAATACTTTCTCTTTAATTCTATTAAACAGACATAATTTCTTGTTTAGTTACAAACTAAAACTGCTGTTCAAGTCCTATAATTGCTGTGTTGAGAATACCGACTAATTTGTCAATCGAAATGTTTTCGTTTTCAATAACCTCTGGGTCACTTTCTTCATGACAGAGTACATCTACACTTAGTACGGAATTATAAACCAAATAAAATAAAAACATCTGCCTGATAGAACATAAGAATAGTAGGCTGACAGATCAAACTTACCCTAAATCCCTAGGGTGATAATTGAATACAAGAGATTTCGGATTTCAAAACATACTTTCACTTGTAGATACAAATTACATATTAGTAAATATATATCGGAAATTCTATTTGACATAATCTTTTCTAATCTAACTTTTTATAAAATTGCTCTAACAGTCTGCAAATCCCGATTTCAAGCACGATAAAAGAGAAACGCAATCTGCAACACATTAACTGATTAGCTTACTTTATTGCTTAGCGTTATAAGCCTATGTTACAACATTAAACGCGCATGCGCACAAACATATTTGCAGTCGTAAGGGTCTTACGCGCTCTCGTAAATGCCTGTGCGCATGCGTGAACGCGACGCATGCGCAGAAAGTTTGTAGCTTTGAGGTCTGGATTATAGATCATTCCGGATTATGGGTGTCCGAATTAACGACTTTTGACTGTAACAGAAAGCCCACAGTGACTGGGGTAATTTTCAGCATATGGTTCTTAAATGGATATGACATAAAAATTAACTAAATTCTTTCTGTTTGAAAATCCTTTACAAAAGTATCCCTCTAGGTAGATAGCTTTTATATGCTAGCTTTTAGATGTAATAGCCTTCCCATGCCCTATTCAATAAATCGTCTACTTTTGCGACTCCTCCCCCTAAAAAAGTAGTGTTGCTTCTGATTTTTCTTAGTCAAAATTTCATTCTTGACATTGATGAGAACAACTGCATTCCATCCATCATGTGTCCTATTTGTAGTTCTTTGCTTACCTTATCTATCAAATATTTCTTTTGATATAAGTTAAAAAAATATAGTATCTTCCCCCCCCAGTTGAATTGATCAATGAATTGTTATATAACTGTTTTAGTGTTAAAGAAATGTGCCTCTGCAAATGTTTTGCTTTTCTATTTAGTAAAACTATCTAATAGTTAAGTTTTGGGGTTTTTTTTTTCCAGGGAGGGGGGGAGGTGTAATGAATTGTTATTCTGGTGCACATGTTTGTATTTGCTTCAGAAACCCAAACCAGTGACATAAACTGTCACAATGTTCCAAATATTTTAAATGTTGCTTGAATTTTGTAGCTATTTTTTGAAGTACTTTGTCCTATGTCCAGGTATTCATTTTGATTTTCTAGGTTATTATCATTATGTTATTTTAATTTTCTTGATAATCTGCATTTCCACATTATACATTTTCCATGGTGTTTTTCTGTTTCATCTTCATTTAGAATGTTCTTAATTTTACATTTTTTATTGTTCAAATCTACAACTTTCCTTTGTGGTTCTAAGGATTTTAAAAATGTACTTTTGTTAATTTGGTTTTCAGCACTCATTGCTATTACTTCCATTTAAGTTTTTTAACTTTTAACCCTTAGCGCTCCGCACGTTTTTGTACCACTGCATACCAGCAACTCTGGCACATTTTCGCGGGATCCAGTGTTTTTAAATGCAGCATCCAGAATATCTGCATAAATCTCTTTCTTGTAAATATTTTACCAAAGAAAGTGTCACACCTCACGCCCGTTCAGACACAAAGCGGGTTCATTTCGTACACTCACCATAACAGGAAAATAATCTTCATCAGCTTTGAAATTTTATCCACTAATTTATTTCACATAACGGTACACAATATTCCACAAAACAAAATCTCTGTTATCCATAAGAAATGTTTTAGTTATCTTCTTTCAAACTACAAAAACATGTTTTAGTTATCTCCTTTCAAACCACATGCTTGCCGGTCCACTCCAAAAGTACTCAAGTCTCCTCTTCACCCCACCAGTCTGACTCGACTGGTTTTTCCAGTTAGCTACGTCACTTCCCTTAATTGTCTTTCAGCCTCGTGGAGAAAAAGTTTCGGAAAAGTCTTCTGCTAGGGGAAGGAACTTCACAGAAAGGGATGTGACTATTCTCCTTAACTGACCAATAATCATGCATATTCGCCAGGAGTAACATACCCTTATTAATAATAACTCCAACTAAAGCCCAAAACTCATCCTCTTCCACCACAGGCCGTGTTTTCCAAATAGAATTACTAGATATTTCTTTATTCCTTAGAACATTTTCTGGGTAGTTGTTTGTTTCTTTTATAATTTCATTTACCAGTTCGTTCGTTTGTGAAAAAAAAATTTGAAATATTGTGTTGGCTGTACAATATTTGTAGGAATTTGCGGTCCAATGACCTTTGGCAATACACTAAAATGTATTCTATCCGAAATATCTAATTCTTCCGTGACATCGCATCATTCATCTAAGTCTTCCGGCGACTCTTCGCTTTCACTTTCAATAACTACCATTCGTTGTCTCTTTAGTATAATTTCGAAACCACTACTTGAAGTGTCAGAATTATAATCATTATTGTCTTCCACAATATCTTCTAACAATGAAAAATTAAATACATCTTCACTATCACTCAACTCTATATTCTATAATTATATCACAATAATTATTTTTCTCTATGCTGCTAACCATAAAATGGGTCAAATAATGTTTCAATCGTAACAGTATCGATACTGAGCACATTTTAACTACAGATAACAATTGCCAATGCCAACAATGCCGTAACATCTTAAGCCTAATCATGCTAAAAACATTCAGCTACGCAGCGGAGTCTACGGAGTTACAAATGATGGACGGCTCCGTAGGAGCCAAAGGAATGCTAAGGGTTAAATTAATTCAATAGCTATATGGCATCTTATGTATATTTCCATTTCATTTTATGTAACTTATCTGCTTTGTTAATCTTTCTGGTGTTTTAACTGATTTCAAATTTTTTCCCAAAATTTTAAAAATGTCTTATGAATCATGAAGTTAATATTTTGTTTCTGATGCATATTTTTAACATTATTTGGTTTTGTTATGAAATACATAAGTAATTCAAAATTTATCCATGTTAAAGAGTTTTTACTATATTTTAAAAATAAAAAATAGCACTGTGAAGAGGAAAATTGATTAATTTAGTTGCTGAACTTATTCCTTTTGATGTATTTCCAGGGGGAATATAAAATTCTCATTGAAATCAATATACTATTCACAAGCATCACAGTGTTAAGAGGCATGCATAAAGTGTGTATTTGAATAGTTGTCCAACAGTTGTTAAATTTGAATAGTTGTTATTTTAGAAAGTGTGGATAGTATTCTATCCACTGTTTCTAAAATATTACATCAAAGGGTTACGTTCTGCTTAAAATATCTTTATTAACTTGAAATTTTTGTCTGCAGCAAAATTTCAAATGCTTTTAATATAATTTATATTTTTTAATTGCTGCAATTTTTTTATTATTATTATTCTAGATCAAAAATTGCTGTATTTGATTAAATTGTACGCTGATAGTGATGTTGATATGAGTAAATTCAGGTATTTATAAATGGACTTTCTCTTTTGTTGGTATCATATGTATAATATTTATTATCTATATTCTAAACTTATTATATTTATGTTTAGTATCTTTGGAGTCCATAATATGATGATAAAAATAATTTTTTGTACCAATGATGAAGTAAACTTTTCAGACATTTCTTCTTCATATATCAAACTTATTTGCATCCATAATGTACACTGAGTTAAACTAAAATTGCCATGTAAAAAACTGCTTCTTTAAAATATTGGAAGATTTGAATAAATGTTACGCTTAAGTATGCAAATCATCAAAGATATGTAGCAGTCTGCATTTTCTGAAGCTGGTGTGAGGCAAATTTATCATATGGCTGCCAGAAGTTTCATGCAGATGTGCTGTACAAATCACAGTTACAAACTGAGTTTTTGCTGAACTAAATCTTTGAAAATATGTTCTGTAAGTTGGGGTGGAAAAAATCATTGCAAGAAATAGCTATGAACTTCATGTAAAGGCAGATAATCAGCATACTAAAGTAGGTTCTTAAAGGAGCATATTTTTGCAAAAAAACATCAGCAGTCCAAAAAAGTATTCAGAAAGTGTGGGGTGAAAATGCTTACACTCAGTCTGAAGTGCAGATGATGACTATTGAACATAAGAATTATTTCATTCAACTAGTTCTAACTGTATCTGCAGCCAGTCTATTGGCTTAGAGAAAGCTTAGTTATACAATCCATCCACCAGCAACAACTTCCCGTCAGTTTGGGAAAAATAGGGTGCACGTGTGTTGTCTGCTTACCATTATCATTTACTTTTGAAATGATGTATTGCCATTTAATCTGAAGTGCAGAATTATGTTAATTCATCTTCAACAAATCTCTCATTTGCTTTAGTTCCAATGGTTGACATGAACATATATTACTTCAGTGTGGCAAATGAGACAACTCAGCACAATATATTGAAAGACACACATCTTGAACAAAGGAAATGACTGTCCAGAAAGCCATCAGCTATGTTAAGCACTCTCTTTTATTATATGTTGATGAAAGTAGATCAAGTGATCAGTACATTTATGTGATTTTAGAATTTATAGCCATTTCCTTCTTAGTTTGTGTTAGTGGTATCTTATCTCAGCATGAGTATGCATATTACTTTTATAAATATCTCACAAGAATGTATATGAGGTATATCTTCCATGCTTGCTTGTAAATGTCTCAGCCATCTAAAAAAAATGCTGGTTTAAAATACTGGAATGTTTGAATAAACGAAAGCCATACTCATGTATGTGAATGCTCAAAGGTATGTAACTATCTGCATTTTTTAAGCTGATATGAGGCAAATTTTATCATATGGCTGCAGATATCATAGCACATCTGTAGGCTCAAGCATAACATTCTTATGCAATAGCAAAGCTTTTCAACAAGTGCATTGAGCAGGGGAAATTATAACCCAAAACAGTGTACAAAATTTATATGCTTCAAGGATGTGACAGCTTGTGAAATGCATTGTTAACAAAGATGGAAGCCCATCGTACTAACATTTCAAATTACATATTTTTAAGGGGAGAGAAGGAATTATTTTTTCTATTGCTTTGGAAATTTTACTATAGCTTATTTATTAAGTTTGTTTGAGGTTAATTATATTATTTTTATTTATACAATATCAGTTTTACTTTGCATAGTATTGAATACATTTTGCATTTACTGAAATACTTCTATTGGCCCTTTCAATGACTCCTTTTGGTCTTTACTAGATTATTTTAACTGCCCTAAATTATGAGCAACTGTATTTTAGAAAAACCTAAAGAATATTTTTTCTTTTTTATCTTTAGTAAAACTTCTGATGATATGAAATACAATTATGGATTAGAATACCAAAAATATGACTGTTGATAATCTTACAGACTATCATAAATTGAATATAGATCATTCAGACTATCATAAACTGAAAATAGATCGTTGCAAAAGTCAGTTTTATTTTGCAATAATTTTAATCTATTAAACGTGAAACTTAACTAATCAAGCTGTTAAACAAAGACATATTTAATATTCTTTCTGTAAATGTTGTGCATCTAAGAATGTGTGTATTGCAGTATAAGAGGAAATTTTTCTTTAATGTATGTTTCTAACAAAACAAGAAGGTAACTAACTTGAAACAAAAAAGACATTAAAATTTTAGTAATATGATTGCCATTTAAAACTGTATAACTGAAATTAAAGACTACTGTATTTTAAATTTAGAACATTATTCTTCAGATTTTTCGTAATCATTTATAATTCATTTTCTAATGTATAATCTAATATTCAGTATTTCTTTCTTTCTTTCTTTTTTTTTTTTTTAAATTTAATTATTTCTATTAAAATAAGTAGCTGAGAATTTTGTTTGAAAATTACTAATTATTTTGCTGGTTTCCCCCCTTTTTTTTAGTAAAAATGTTATATGATTTCTGATATGCCAATTGAAAACTCATATTAGTTATTTGATCTAATAGATTTGTTCATATTAAGTGAGCATTTATATTTCAGTCCTTTCTTATGGGGCAAGCCAGCTGTTATTCATTATTCGGTGATGAATACTACAAGTATGTATCTATGGAAGCAACCAAAACTTCAAGATGTTCTCAGTCTGCTGTCATCAGATATGATTGAAAACACTATTCTGAATTATCCCCTTGAGTTACAGCTGCAGGTGAGAAAGAAAACTTGATTGCATGCACATTATGAAATTTCCCACTCCTCTCTATAATGCTATTTTATTCAATATATGAACTCTTGTAACTCACCTCAAGTCATTATGTTTTCATTCACTGTTTCAGTTTTATCTCTGTTTATATATATATATAATATGCACTTTAGGATGCTAACAAAAAAGTAAAATATTTGTAAAAATTTTGTTGTAACTACACTTTTTTAAATTGTATGACACAGGCATAAAAATTATGTACTGAAAAGTTTTATGTAAAAATAACTTTATTATTAAAATAAAACATTGTTCATTATTATGTTATGTTGTAAATAGTATAGATGTATTAAATGTGTATTTTATTTTCTGTCTTAATGCTTCTTGAATATATCATACTTTATTTTATTTTTTATTAATTTTATACATGATAATGAGTCTTAAAAAACTTTTTTGTGTGTGTGCTTTTGATGAAAACCACATACAATCTTGCAGCCTTGTCAGCAAAACATGAATCATTTACTTGAGGAAAATGTTACAGCAGACACTGTTTATGATTTGAGGTTCCTCCTACCTTTGTTTGCTACTTTGCTTTCTCCAGGTAAGTTTGATGCTATAGATAACTGCTCTGTAAATTTTGTTTAATTTATTCAAAGATTGGAAACTGTTTGATGTTTTTCTTTCTTTATTTATTTTACATTAGGAGCCTATATTCATTGTCAAAGCTTTATATTATCCAAGTCATTAATGCTGCTTTTCACATCTTTAAGCAGTCTTGATCCGAACACTAGAGCATTAGGATATTATTGTATCAGTCAATTTTACCAACATCTGGAAGGTTCCTTTTACAGTGAGAAAAGTATATGGCTGAGTCTTTTTGATTGTGTCCGTAATTCCATATCTCGTCCCAATCCCAGAATTCCTGCCATTGTATCATTATTTCTTGCAAAAGTAATAGATATATTTACAAAACCAGGTATGTTAATTTTAATTACATATATCTGTAGTATAGAAATGAACATTATTATATTTAAATGTTTTTTCTCTTTCATTTGTATTCATAGTATCAGTCCAAAAATTTTTGGTGGAATTTTCAGAGAGCATGAATTAATATCCTCACAACACATTTTTTATGATGATATCTGTCTGTATGTGTGTGATGGTTATTTAGTAGTTAGTACTTCTTATATGAAACTTCCAAAACCTTTCTCAGACTTGCCAACTCTCCCGATTTAGGCGGGAGACTCCGGATTTTCGACCGCTCTCCCGCCAACCCGATTTACAATATATTTCTCCCGACTTTTTCTTATTCTTAAAATTCCTCACGATTTTTATGGAACTTGGCTTAATACTTTGTTATATGAACAAAAAAAGTTATTTTGGACGTCCGAAGCAAATGAATTTTCTCTAGATTATATCTAAAAAACAAAACCTTGCGAATTAGATAACTTCTGCTTTGTGAGTGAGAGCATATACGTATTCAGAAACGTCCTTCTCCAGTTCTCCAATGGACATCGTGCTCAACTGAGTGTGATCTGGCATATATTAGCCAATGAGGACAAAACAAGCTGTTATTTGGATGTTCTTTAGTTATTTCGGTCATTTTGTCCTGAGTTGTGTGAGTACACGTGCCTTTGGGAAATAGTTTTAGAAATTATCATCTTTTGTTATGTCTGCGAGAAAGGTGAAATACTCGTTTACGTTTCAAAAATCGTACACAGTTGACTTTCCTTCCATTATTTCCTCAAGGAAATGTAATAAATTTGCGATGTGTACTGCCTGTCGTTGCGATTTTTCGATTTCGCATGGTGGAAGGGCGGATGGTCTCAAACATGTGCATACACAAAAACACAAGGGCTACATGAGCTGTTTTGGGAAAAAAAAAAAAAAAAAAAAAAACGAAAAATTAAATTTTTCATCAGAAACAAAAAACCAAAAAGTTATTAATGCAGAATGTCTGTTCTCTGCCTTTTTACTGGAGCACAACCTGCCACTGAATGCATCGGATCACGCTGCAGCTTTATTTAGAAAAATGTTTTCTGATAGTGAAATCGCTAAGAAATACTTAAGTGCAAGAACCAAAAGAGGTGCAATTGTTAAAGAAATGGATTTGAAAAATAAATCTTCAGTTATTGATCGCATTAAAACAGCTCCGTTCTGCCTCTCTACGGATGGAAGCAATAATATACTGATTCAAAACTGTATCCAATTGTTGTTTCTTTTTTTAATCCAGAGTCTTCAGAAATTGAGTGCAGTTTACTTTCTGTCCCCACTTTGGAAGGACATTTGACAGGCTTTAATATAGCACAGCTAATTATTAAAACTTTAAAAGAAAATGCAGTCCCTCTGGATAATTGCTTAGCACTAGGTGCCGATAATGCACCAGTATTGGTAGGCTTGAAGACTGGTGTTGCAGGCATCTTCAGAAAGAAAAATTCAGATTTGCAGATTATGAGGTGCACCTGTCACCTCTTAAATCTAGCAGCTGAAAAAGGAGTAGCTTCTTTACCAATAAATGTGGATGAACACATTGTTGATATTTATTATAATCTTGAAAGGAGTTCTAAAAAAGGAGGAAAAATTGAAACAAGTCCAACAGCTGCATAATAGCAGTTTACAATTAGAAAACCTGGACGAAGTTATAAAATCAGCTAGGATTGACACCCAGTGGAGTTTAATTGGAAAACTGAAAGATGCTGATGGAATTTTAAAATATAGAGAACTGTCTAGAATTATGTTGGCCATCTTGACAGTTCCCCATAGTAATGCAGAGTGTGAGAGGATTTTCAGTGTTGTTGCGAAAACGAGGACTAAATTTAGATCTAATATTAGTGATGACACATTAGAAAACTTTTATTAGTGAAAGCAGGCCTACGTGGCAATTACTATGAACAAAATTATGAAGTTTCTTTCTTAAAGAAAGCAAAATCTGCCACTGTTTATACCATTTGTACAAAAACTGATTAAAGGGTTTTTTTTTTTTTTTTTTTTTTTTTTTGTTTGTTTTCTTAAACGATGCAAGTAATAAAAATGTTTTTTATGTGTAAGGTATTTTTGTGTTGCTTGCATTTAAGAATTAGTTACTATTTAAAGTTAATTCATTATTAAAAACTATATTTTCCTTATTTAAAAAGTCTTTTTAACATTGTGAAAAATCTCCCGATTTCTTAAAACAATCTCCTGATTTTTGAGTGTCATAGGTTGGCAAGTATGCTTTCTGTTTTCCATATTTAAGTTTTCTACATTCGTATAAAGAATTGATTATATTTTGTATAAAATTAAAAAACTGGAAGTGGCACTTTACATGACGTCCATAACAATTTTCAATTGAAAACCAGAAATAGTGCTTCACTTGAAGTAGTTTTTAATGAAAAACTATAATAAAATATAATCCAAAACTTTTCAATTTTAGTATTTAAAACTTTTACATCAATGGGAATAGCATATTAGATTTTGACTGAAGTTGATACTTATGTAAAATTTTGAGCAGACATTCCTAGAAAAGAAAAAAATTAAATTTGAGATAATGCAGAACTTCTTAAATTTGGTATTTAAAATAGAAATGTGATTGAAAACAACATATTTCATTTACAAGCATGAAATGTATTCATGAAAGTATGCTAAATGCAATGAGAATAAGCGAATTATGAAGACAAACATTCATTATGAAGTAGTTAAATGTGTTAGCCTCAATCATAAATTTTGAGTTTGTTTCACATTTGTGCCAAATCACTTTTCAAATAAAAGGATACTGCCACCAAATGTTATCACTATGAATTATGTTTAAAGAAGTAATGTAAAAATATGAAAAAAGTGGCAACAACTAACATTCTAAGAATTAAAGAGGCTGAATTTTAAAAATTTTGTTTTTGAATTTTACATGGTATAAGTCTGAAGAAATTGATGTTCAGTAATTAAAGCTAACATGACAAATGAAAAAGTTGGTCATCTTATTAAGAGAACTGCACATTGATATTATTAATTGAGAAAAGAGACTGGAAAAAACATATGACACTATAAAAAGAAAAAATATGACATTATGAAAAGAAACATAAGAAAACACTTAACACTCTGTTGGAAATTCTAAAAATATGGAGCTTTTAAAAATTTTGTAATTGTTAAGTCATTAATTTGTGGATCCGAAGCACTGTTTGACTGGAGGATATACTACAATTATGTGGTATTTTCAAATCAGTGCATGAGAATGGATGTCTATATGAGCATGTGTAGTTATTGTTCATTGAATGTAAGAATAGAATAATCAAAAGTGAGGAGTGTTTGAGTTATAAAATGTATAGAAACATTAGGTTTTATGTACTAGGTAAAAATTAGGTATTATATTTTATCAACCAGAAGTAATAATTTACGTAAATCCCATTGCTATTTCATTAAGTCCATATCTTGACATGGAAATGGCAGGAAGTCATATGCTGACCTGCCACATGATTCTTGCTAATAGAATGGAAACTATGAGATTAGCATAAATAGCGAATAATTTTAATGTATTGCTATATATATATATGTATATATCACTTATTCTTTAGAGTTTTCAGTTTATATTATAGACATACTTGCTGATTTAAAATTTTAGTCACAGATATTTGCAGGTTTAAGATTTTGGGTTACTCATTGAACTAAATTGATTGAAAATCAGAATTTTTTTATTCTGCTGAAATGATTTTTATATGACAGGATAGAAAAGAAATCATAACTTTATTACTGAATAACAGCTGTGTCTCAGAATTTGGGCACATTTATGGTGTTTTTTCTTCAGAAGCAAAATTAATAAGAATTAACTAATAATAATTATTAAGAAGTAATTGATAAATTTTTATTCATTGCAACAATAAAATATTTCACTATAATTTTTATGCTCTAAAATAAAGTTCTCTGAAAAGCTCTGATATATTTCTGCATTTTAATAACTCCTACTTTTCTAATATCTCGTGTTTTTGATAGACGATGAAATACATGTATTTTCATAAAATAAAACTTTGTATGCAAAGTATAATAATGTATACAGAGAGCTCCATGCATGATCTTCTGCAAGGGAGTACAGTTCTGCATTATGCAAAATCTCCAAGAAAAGAATAGCATGGTTGAATTATTAATATTCATTATGTTGTTTAGAATGAGAGCAAATACTTTGCATTCAACAGTTGCTGTGGTGAAGCAACAGATGTTTTAATAAAAGAAATAAATTTTGCATAACTGTAAGCACAGTATTGATAACTTTCATCTTAACATGCTTGAATATATGCACCACAATGAACATGACATTTTTCATAACATTACTCTTCAGGCCACTTTTTAGTAAGAACATCATGAATAAGCTGTTAAGTGATGCTTGAATGCAGATTTTGAGTTTATTGAGAATGCAGATTTTGAGTTTATTAAAAATTTGAGCACTGTAAATAATGTTCTTACTCATATGTAAAAGTGTGATGATTAAGGTCTAGGTTTGTTCCCATCCTGTGGGAAATGAGATGGGCTCCTTCTTCTAATCCATAACTTTGTAAAGCAAGCATCTATAGTGCACTGTGCATTAACCAAAGTTAGGTAGTGCCCCCATCTTGTTGAAATATGTATATATTACATGATATTAAAAATGCCATTTTGCAGTTCATTAGTCTTAAGGGCAATAAGAAATTTTCCAGTGTCTTCTAGTTGTTGATGATTAGTTTGGCATTTCTATGAATGTAGCTTCATCAAAAGAAAAATAAATCTATTCTAGAAATTTGATTCATCATTCATTTGAGATCACATCACAACATATTCAACCTATCTCAGATTATTTAACTTGTTTAACTGAATTTTGAGTGCATGCAGTTATAACATCTTTTGCATCACTTCATTCACATTTGGTGGATAATATGTGAGAGAGATTTAATGCTAGAATTCCACATTAATAGAGTAATTTTTTTGGATTTGGTTTCACGTATGATTATTCTTTCTCCACATTTTTAGTCTCCTTTCCAGAAATGACTGTACAATTGTCAAGAAATGTCCCCAGGTGAAAGATCCTTGCACCATTTGTTTCGACCCCTCCCCCAGGAATATTTCAATTAATTGTATATTTCAAATATTTTAATTTTTATGTTCGCACATGCATTAAATGTGAATATTAATGCTTTTGTGCATTTTGTCTGTATGTATATATTGGGTGTGCAAATAAGTTTTGAGGAATTTACGTAAGATGGCATTACTAGTATTAAATCCTATTGGACAATCTTGTAACTATATTCATGTTAAAGCGCCAGCATTTTCATCTAAAAATCGGTCAGTTTCATTTCATAAACAACAAACTTTCTTTACTCGGCACCCATGTCAACCTTTCTACCAACAAAACAAAATTTGCGGGAAGTGCTTCTTTTTTGTTTTAATTTGAAGAAAAGTGCAGATGATAGACATTGATTGCTGTGTGAAGCATATGGGAAACATGCTTTATCAATAAAAAACATCTGAATACTGGTTCCGGCAAAGAGGAGGCATAGTTTTTTCCCAGAAGAGCTTGTCAAAACCTTGGGAGTAACTCAGCAAGTGATTTCAAAGCATCTAAAGGCCATGGGTATGGTGCAAAAACAAGGGAATTGGATTAGGTGTGAACTCAAGCCAAGAGACATGGAATGGCATTTCTTCATATGTAAACAACTGCTCCAAAGGCAAATTCAGAAGGGGTTTTTGTATCAAATTGTGACAGGAGACAAAAATTACTACAACAACCCAAAATGCAAAAAATCGGGGGGGGGGGGTTAAGCCTAGCTATGCATCAGCTTCAATAGCTTAACCGAATATTCATGGCAAGAAGTTAATGTTGTGCATCTGATGGGATCAGCTTAGTGTGATCTATTATAAGATATGCCAGCCTTACGAAACCATTACTGGGAAATGTTGCAAATAACATTTAATGCAACTAAGCTGAGCATTGATGTCAAATGCCCCCAACATGACAAATGATCTTTCAGCACACAACACTCGCTCGCAAGCTGCAAAAGTCATCTAGGAAGCTGTAGAGGTGCTTCAAATTCCTATCCCACCTACCATATTCACCAGACATTGCTCCTTCTGACTTCCATTTGTTCCAGTCGGTGACTCATGACTTGGCCGAGCAGCACTTCATTTCATATGGAGAAGCCAAAAATTGGGTTGGTTCTTGGATCACCTCAACAAACGAGGAACTTTCTAAGCACAGAATCCATGTGCTACCTGAAAGATGGGGGGGGGGTAAGTTGTAGCTAATGATGGACAATACTTTTAATAAAATACTTTTTTCCAATTTCTCTGAATAAAGCTTCAAAGTTACCCCCCCCAAAAAAAAGGCTAAAAACTTTTTTGTACACCCAATATGTGTAAAATGTTTATAGTGCAAAATCAAAAAATCTAATTTCGAAAATGATCTTATATTTGAAACCATCAATACAATAAGCAAATAGATACATAAATACATTGAAATTAACAATATCTAAATTCCCCTCTTTGCTTCCGAAGTATAGGAATGGAGAACATACTACTTAATAAAACAAAGCAGGTGTGCTATAAATGTGATTTTTCTCCTCAGTAACTGAAATTCTTGGTATGTCACTTTCAAACACCAGCTGTCTAGGCAGTCTTGCTGTGGTCAATGACTATGAATTGATTGACATATTGATGTCAGCCAAGATCACACTTTAATCCCTTGAGTGATTATGAGGGAATAAGCATTTTCATATTGAACCTGAACAATAAGTGAAACCCCAGTGTTGCCATGTCTACATGTCATCTTACTAGATTTAAACCGATGACCTGAAATCCAGACATTTCCAAAATCTGGAATTGCTGAAATCCCAACAGTTCCAGAACTCAGACTTTCTACTGTACACAGAAATTTCACTCTTAATTTCTAAATCAATAGCTTATATTTCTTCCTTTTTAAGTGCTGCTTTCTGTTATTTAAACCATGCAGCTGCATGGGTTTAATCAGTCTCAATCAAAATAGTTCTGCAGGTTTACTTTTTGTGATGTAATTGTTCTACTGCATATACATGCAACTCTTTAGAAGTTTCTGATAGCAGAATCTTTGACAGACAATTATTTGAAGAGTGTCTGTCATACTTACAAATCTTTTAAGACAGCTTATGCTTAGAGGGGCTTTTTTGCCCATCCTGTCTTATAAATATATTTCATTGTTATGTCTTTGAAATAATATGTGTTAAAACTAAAATGGAAAACTTTTGAATAGTAATTAAAGCTTTAAAAATATTTCTATTAAAAAAATCTTTTAATCATATTGGTATATCATTGGTCTAAAAACAATTAATTGCATGAAGTTATTTGCTTATGCTTTATCAAACAAAATTTGTAGTAAATTTGTGACTATCTAAAAAGAGCTTATTTATTTTATATAAACTGATTATTTATTATTTTTTATGTAAACTGAATAAATTGAATTTTTTTATGAAGTAATAGAAAATAATGATTATATGTTAAATATAACATTTACTAGGGTTAAAGGCAAATTAGTAAGCCCTTGGAATTGTTGAAATCTTGAGTCTATACCAAACTCAAGGTTGTTACATTTCTAATTTTATGTTTCTCTTCTGTTTTCAGGGTCAAAGGTATTAAAAATTATTTATAGATTCTGTAATTTTGCTTAAAATCATAATTTTGGTTTTGTAATTTAGAAAATGATTATTTTTACTATGTTTATGAGATGTACTTCTTTCATTTCAGTGTGTTATTTTTCTTAAATTTATTTTGCAATAATTTTTTTTCTAATTGATCATGGCTTTTAATTTCAGATAATAGTATGTATACAATTCTGTACAAATTCATCATGGTGAAGCCAGTATTTGACGTTGGAAATGTACCAGAATTTTATATATTATTTAACAGCAATGAAATTGAGGTATTTTTTGTACATCTTTTGATTGCTATTTTTGTATATTATAATTTACTATTGTGTAAATTTACTAAGTGCTATTGTGGAATGACTGACAAGAGTATTGTCCTAAGTTTAAAAATCTAAGGTAAATGCTAACTATTCCTCTAAAATAACTAGGAATTAATTTATTGTTATTAAATTAATTCCTAGTTATTTTATTTAATTATTAAATTGTTATATATTACTAATTTCAGGTGATCTTTTATATAAACTGAGGGGCAATTGCTTGATACTTTTTCTTCCCGTTTTGCTCCTATTCTGTTCAGTTCTTATTGTTTTGCTCAGAAAATTTTCGTATGTGCAAAAGAATGGTCTTGTTATTATAATATTTCTTGCATATTATTTTATTTTAGGAAATTATTATGTAGTTCCATATGTTAAAGATAAAACATTTGTATTGTTTCTCGCTTTCTGCATGTATTTGTAGATATTTTATATTAATGAAAATTATGTGACTTTTAACATTTTCTTTTAAAAAAACTGAACGAACCAAGTATTAATAAATAAAAATTAAAGAAAGAAAAGAAAAAGAATCTGAAAGCATTCAGATTTTAATGTCACTCCAGATGATTTTTTAAGGTTTTTATGTTCTCCTTGAGCTCTCAATTAATCTATCCACTCATAGATTCAGTTCTGTGAAGAAATATTTTTTTGTGTGTTAACTCTATTATTAAATATTTTCTTTGCACTTATACTACATAAAATTCAACAGAAAAATCAAACAATTTTTGAAAAATAGTATATCCTTAGAACTCTTGATACAGTGTTAAATATTCCCATACAATTCTTAGCCTTGAAGGGCTATGTCTTGAACATGAATTTTGTGTTGAATCACTTGTCCGTTTTAATTTTCAAATAAGTAACTACTGCTATGGCCCGCTGACTTCAACTCAATTATGAATGATGACTTTTTATCCCCACTCGTCTACATTGGAAAACAGGAAAGGAAAATTAGTTTGCTATAAATTAAGAAGTTCGCTAAGTAAATTATTCTTGGCACAAACTGAAAAAAATATGCCAATTTTGAATTTCTCCGTAAGTTTTGCACCAAATTTTACAAAATTTAATATTTAGTTGTAGAATCGAAATATGGAAAAAAATGGCATGACATTTCAGAAAAAGTCCGATTTTGGGTTGAAATACCTATGTTAGAATACTGCTATATATAAATCTAATATAAATCCTAAGTCACGCTTTCGAGAAATGAAAAACACAATTTAAATTCTGTCAATTGGCCCAGTAGAACGGGAGATATAGAACTGCCCCCCTTTTTTTGTGTGCAGTGTATATTGACAGTTTACCAATATACTGACATTCAGTGTATTTTCTTTTCTTAATAGAATGTTAAAATTTATTATAAATGTATTTTATTGCATAATAAATTCATTATTAGTAACACATTTTAGCATTGTTAAAAAAGGTGCAGTAGAATAATATAATGTATTCTTGCATGATAACTTGCACATGACCCAGAAACAAGTCTAAACATTGAGGTCTAAATGTTAAGGCTTATATACATAAATGGGAAAAAAAGTACTTTCACAGCCAGTATCAGGACACTTAACTGAATCACTGTACATTTAAACTGTTATTTTTAAAGCTATGTTCTATCATTTTTATCCTGAGGATAATGTTACAGGAAGTCATGAATTAGCATCAACAGGAAATATCTAACAATCTAAATAAAAATCATGTATGGTAATGGATTCTGGTAGCCCAGCAGAGCATTAGGGGGAAAAAAATAGTGAAACGTTTTCTAAAAGCTTAGGTTGACATGCTATTGGTAGTTAACGATTACTTGTGGCTGCTTTTTGGAAGATAACAGTACCACAATTCATAGTAGAGACAATAAAAGCTCTGTAAAATGTACTGCTAACATAAATGGCAGAAAACTGCTTTTTGTATTAGCAGCTGCAATTTTTAGAAGTTTCTTAATTTTAACACTAGTACTAAATTAAAATAAAATTGCTTTGTCAGTTTTTCCTATATTCTCATAAATTTTGAAAATTATGTTAATCGCATGTTCATGTTGGGGGCTATACATTGATTAATCAACATATTATGACTAGCTTCCTAATACCACGCTGTTCCAGCTTTGGCATACAAAACAGGTTTCAAGTGCTGTGGCATGGGTTCTTTCTAAGTCCTTTCTAAGTGTTCAGAGAAATACCAGGCTTGCTAGTAGAAATCACATAGTTCCCATAGATTATGAGTATGTGTTTGTACAAGACCTTTTGCTTAATGTAATTAATTTATTACACATATTTATTGCAAATAAATGGGTTATGGGAAAATTTATATTTTAACAATCTGTGGGTTAGCCATTTATCTAGATTTATATTATTCTCATTCATGCAATTAAATATGTGTAGTATAATTATGTAGTTTTAAAACCTGTTTATTTTTTATTAAACAAAAGTGAGACGTTTTTACATTAAGCTCAATTTGTCTACAGTACTATTTCTTGTATTTTTTTTTAAATATTATGCAAGTACGTAATAGGTAATTATATGAAAAATCAGTTATAGTGTAAAATTTTTAGAAGTGATAAATTAACATTTCAGTTAAAATTTCACTCTTTTGGTGTTCATTAAAATTAATAAGTCTTTGAAACCAGTTTGCAAATTTTTAATATAACCATTAAAAAATTCATTCATTCATTTGATAATGTATGCATTTATAATTAATTATCTTCACCAAGTTATTTACTATTTAACCTGGAATTTTGCTATATAAATTTTGTTATTGTATGTTTTCTAGATTTTATAGTAAATTATTGGTGGAAGTCTCTAAAAATATTCATAAAGAAACATTTACAGTTTATGACTACTGAAGTTTTATGACTTCCTAATATGATTTGTTTCTCTTTTTAAATGAATTGTTGTTATTTTTGTGAATTTTTTTAATACTGTTATGATTATGTCAAATTTAAATTAAAAATATTGTTTCTTTATTATAATTATTAATTTTTGAGGATTTCATTTTTTAGCATAGAGAACATCGGCAGTGGCTTTTGAATCTATTAGCTAAAGGCCTACGTACTGGTTCAGACTTTCACATATGTAAGAAGCGCTATATTTTCTCTACGCTTTTATCACATTATTGGAGTTCTGTATGTACACATGATGAGAAGGTTAGTACTGTTTGTTCTTATTAGATTGCTATTTAAGTAATAAGTATAAGATATACGTATAAACTCTAAAAATAGGCAAATTTCAACCTTTGTTATGAAACACATATATCACGTCTTTTGAACTGCTTTAAGCATTTTTATAATGGTGATACAAAAGTCTAGTAGAAATGTGGCTATTACTGTTATGCAAATGGAATGTCTAATCCCTGCACTATAATTTTATTTAGAACAAATACAGTAGAGTGTAAAATTTTTTGAATTACTTAAAAAAGCAATTTAGGTGACTTAAAAATCTTTCCAGAGTTTTTCCTCTAAAGATAGTGTACATTTCTAGAATGAATTTTCTGCATTACAATCAATATTTTAAATGAAAATTTTTATTTCTTATATATTCTTAATCCTTAAATATTTCATGTGGTTATTAATCTGTTATATATTTCTGAATTATTATTCTGTTATTTCATCTATAAGATAACAGATAACTATTTAAAATTCTTATATAAAGATTCCATTTTTCACACTTAGAAGTGGTATTTTGCTGTATATGTTTTTAACTGCTTTGTGTAGTCCACCAATGTTTTACATTTGTTACTGAAGAATATAATTTTTGGCAGTGTGGAAGCACAATAGTTCAGTATGGAACTGTTTGAAAATTGAGGAGAAATATACATAAAAAAATTGGTATACATTTATAACCTACGTTTTTCATTATTTTTTCCCCCAAATTTAGTGCTAGATTTGGGTTGGTTTCTTTTATGATGATTAAATTATGCTATTTGATGGATTTGTGAACAAGGAGATGGACTAATTCTGTGATTGTGAGTTGTGAGTGATGCATCAATGCTGGGATTTTTTTTCGCTATGCAATTTGTGCATTTTACATTTATTATCAAAAAGTAATGCGTTTAATATTCATCTGCAGTGTGTTTTTAACCTTGAGTGTGTAACATGATATGGTACATATTCTTTATTTTTAAGCTGCCTATTTCACCAACTTTGAAATGTTTAGGCTATTATACGCTGTGATTTTTATCTTTAAAAGCTTTAGAGTGTTTGAAAAATTCCAATGCAGTTTCAGTTGCATAGGATTCAGTAAGCAGAAACAAAATTTCACACTCATTCTCTTCTTTGATATGAACTGCTATAGTCTGACAAAAATTCAAAATATATTTATAATTATGTAAAATCAGAAGAAATCGTATGGAGCATAAAGTGTGTATACAATTACTTTATAAATGATTCTAAACATTATATATTTTCTATAATCCTAGTATTTTTGTTATTGAACATGTATACTATCTGTCTACAATAACAAAACTTTCTCTACACCTATCTGTTGCTGTAGAAACTATCCCTAACTCATTTTTCATTGGAATATGTTGAAAAAGTACATCTCAATTTGCCATTTTGATGCACTTAATTACAAACTGGAGGTATATGTTATTTGATTTTTGCTGTAAGTAAAGTATTTGTTATGGTATTGTTTTGTTTTTCTCATGGCCAACATTGGCCTAAAATGAAACAACAGCAAAACTTTCATTTATCCACACTTAAAATGTTTCTATAGTGACTGCCTGCTGTTAGACATACTGATAATAATAGTTCTTATGACAGACAGTAATTATGTTTTAATACCTCATAATAATATGTGTAACAGACATGTTATTATTACTTTTTTTAAATGTATGTCTCAGAGAAAGAGAAAGAAATATTATGAGAAAGAATATATGAGTAAATTATGTCTATTTTAGGTTTCGATTATTAATATATTAATAGCTGCAGTTAAAATTGAGTCATCTGCTCGATCCTTGTGTCAGAATGGTTTGCTGTCGTGGTTGCATAATGTCGTAGAACAAGTGTAAGTATTTTGCATTTATTCATTCGTCTGGAAAAAAAACTTAATGCTGTAAGATATACAATAGGCTATTATTATAAATGCAGAAGCCTTTTTAATTTAACCTACTAAAGTTTCCATGTAGCATAAAGTTTTTCTTCTCTTCATGTAATAATTCTTTTGTTGAAAAAAAAAAAGTACTGTGTGTTAACTATTTTCTTAAATAAATCATTAATATGGTTCTGGAGTTGTTAAGATATATTTTGAATCCTGAACATTACTGTAATTGTCCAAGAAGAGATCATTACTTTTTTTGTGAGAGCAAACTTGAAAACTGCTAGATATTAAGAATTATTTTTGTACTTGTTTCTTCTTACTATTATTTTCATTATTTAATTTTTTATTTTTAATGGCTCTATAAAATTGACTGATAGGTCAATCAATATAAAGCATTACCTGGAAGTATGCAAACAGAAATATGGTATTTTAAGCTTTATTTAGGGAAGCAGTTGGTAATTTTAACTAAAGCATAAATTAGGAATTATTATGTTTTGAATAAAGATGAAAATGTTCATGTTCACCAACTCCAAGAAATATAAATCAGTTCTGAAAAAAATAATCTGTTTGGTGGGACTGATTTCTTATTAGAAGTTAAAATTGCCTAATAAGATTTCTTACTACAGTCAAAAGTCGTTAATTCGGACACCCATAATCCGGACCTCAAAGCTACAAACTTTCTGCGCATGCGTCGCGTTCACGCATGCGCACAGGCGTTTACGAGAGCGCGTAAGACCCTTACGGCTGCGAATATGTTTGTGCGCATGCGCATTTAAATTGTAACGGAGTTTACACGCTAAGCTAAAGTTATCTAATTCAGTTAATGTTGCCGATTGCGTTGTTCCTTAATCTTCGAATTGGATCCGGCTTATTATTTTTTGCAGACTGTTAGAGCAATTTATAAAAAGTAAGCTTGAACTTTCGATTATGTCAAATAGAATTTCCGATATATATTTACTACAAAGCGAAAGTATGTTTTGAAATCCGAAATCTGTTTATCAATTTCACGCTGCTCTGCGGCAGAGGGGGGGGGGGCAGAAACGTCATTATTAGATTATGATAGATTAGAAAGATTATGTCAAATAGAATTTCCGATATATATTTACTAATATGTAATTTGTATCTGCAAAGCGAAAGTATGTTTTGAGATCCGAAATCTGTTTATCAATTTCACGCCGCAGATTGGAAGTTGATTTGTCAGCACTATCCTTATCTTCAGGGCAGATGTTTTTATTTTATTTGGTTTATAATTCCATACTAAGTGTAGTATTTCATTCTGTCTTTGATATGATTTAAATCAAGTTCCTCGTCATTATAATTCGCTTCCGATAGTGAAGAAAGTGACCCAGAGGTTATTGAAAACGAAAACATTTCGATTGACAAATTAGTCGGTATTCTCAACACAGCAATTATAGGACTTGAACAGCGGAACTTTGTAACTAAACAAGAAATTATGTCTGTTTAATAGAATTAAAGAGAAAGTATTATCACATGAAACGAAGCAACTTACATTGAAGGAAATGTTTAATAAAGTAAACAAATAAATATTGAGCTTTTTCTTTTTGTAAATTTTGATACCCTTTAGATCATAATTGTTCTTTATTTCATAAATTACGGTTTCATATTTTTAATTTTGTAATTTCTGCATGCCATCTTCCTGATTTAAACTGATAATCTATAATCCGGAAAAATCGATAATCCGGAATCGCCGAAGTCCCGACGAGTCCGGATTAACGACTTTTGACTGTAGATCTTAACCATTCCTGTGTAGTATAACGTATTTGCATTGCTATGCTACCAAGATAATTCCACTAAGAAATGTAAATTATCGCATACGATTATCTGCAAAGAATATCCACAGACGATGCACACGCTTAAAAGTGTATTTCAGTTCTTCTGTAAGTTTTGACTGATAAAGTTGGCTGTTCATTCGAAAAAGGCAAGATTTCTTTAAAACTTTATTACAGACATGTACAAGAATAAATATCTGGTGGTAGTCACTGGGATTTAAAGCTGAAATCAGTGTTTGTTTAGCAAAAGAAAATACAGTACTTGTGAGTATAAGTTTTAATGAATACTGCACCATTTTGTATGACAATGTTGCATCTTATTATTGAATTCAAATAATAGAACGATATTCTAAGTTTAAGCTTTTGGATTAAAGTAAAGGATCAAAATATTTAATGTTCTTTTAAAATTTGAGCTTTTGTATTAGAGTGGTAAATTTATAATGTTGATATTAGAATATTTCTATTATGAAATTTAAGCTCTTGTATTAGAGTCCCAAATCAAGAATTTTGTTTTGTGAATCAAGTTAGAAGCTTGAATTCTTTTTTATTTACTTTAGTATAATTTATTAAGAGTAAGCTTTGCAGATTTTTGTTTATCAGAAAGCACATCCGTTTTATTGCATTAAGTGTTTTAGGAAAGAAAAAATTTGTGTCATACTTGAATTTCTAATTTAAAAAAAAAGGCTAGATTGAGCCCCCCTTTTTTTTTTTTTTTTTTTGACAAGATTTAATAGAAGTAGCCGAAGAATTAGGTGAGGAAGTGCCGCTAACTAGTAAGGTCCCAGAAATTAAAAAGATACTCACTGAAAATCAGTTTTACCATGAGGAAGAAGTTAAAATAATTCTAAACCAAATAATTGCTGACCGCCGTTTGTCGCCAACAGAGTGGCTCATTTAAGAGACCAATTCGGGATTGTTAAAGGTCGTCAATTTGTGAAAAAAGTGTTTAATAACTGCCTAATTTGTAGACGATTCAAAGCGAAACCTGGAATGCAGGTGGTTGCCACTTTTACCACCTGATAGAATTCAAGAGCACCCACCATTTGATATATGTGGTGTGGATTTTTCCGAACCATTTTTTGTTCGTGATTTTAATTCAAAGTGTTATTTACATTTATATTCAGCTGTGCAGTGACAAGAGGTATCCACTTAGAAGTAGTTCTTAACATAAGTGCTGATTCTTTTTTGTTAGGATTCCGACGATTTGTTTCTCGTCCAGGATTATGTTCCACTATATATTCTGATAACGCCAAGGCTTTTAAAAAAGCAAATTTTGAATTGAACAAATGGTGGAATCAGATAGATAATGATCAAGTTAAAAATTTGTTTGCTTCTAAAGGTATAGTTTGGAATTTTATAATTGAAAATAGTCCATGGTGGGGAGGTTTCTGGGAGAGACAGATATGAATAGTTAAAATCTGCTTAAAGAAAATTGTTGGATAATCCTCTCTCTCTCTCTTTGAAGGAATTGGAAATTGTTTTTTCAGAAATTGAAACCCTGGTTAATTCTAGGCCTATCACGTATCTGTACAACGAACCCTCAGAACTCTCTCCACTCACCTCATCTCATTTTCTTATTGGTAAAAGGTTGGTGTCTTTACCTGTAATAAAACATAAAAATGAAAATTTAAATGTTAATAGGAATTCTTTGGTAAAGAAATATAAATATCGGCAAACACTTTTGAATCACTTCTGGAGCAGATGGAGAAAGGAGTATTTACTTAATCTGAGATCAGCTTATATTTCCACACAACCAGGTAAAATAGTTTCAAGTGAATGATATTATTTTGATTAATGATGAGCATTATTTCAGAAATATATGGATGATAGGGAAAATTTTAGAGCTATATCAAGGAAAAGACGGAAAAATTCGTTCTCTTCTTATTCAGGCTCCTAAAGGAAAAATAAAACACTCAGTACAACTTGTATATAATTTGAAAATTAATCCTTAATTATGTTAGTTTAATTGAAGTATAAAACTGTTGATTTTTTATTTGTGTATTAATGATAGTTTAATTGTGCTTATATTTTAATATTTGAACTTAGATATTTGAACAATTTTCTTTGGAAGTTAAAAGTGTAATTTGTTTTTATATGTCAAGTGATTGAATAATTTTTAAGCTTTGTATTTGATATAATATGCTATTTGTATTTTTAATTCTTGTAATTTTAAATGGTTTCTGAATGTAAATTTAGCTAAAATTTAATGGTAAGTGAACTCAAGTGAGTTCAGGTTGGGAGTATTACATATTTCCCTCGTCATTCTGACTAGAGGGTGCTGTGTTCACGCCAATAGTCAGTAAAAGGCTGGATACCTAAGGTTGCAGACATGGAAGGCTGAGATGCCTAACAATATATCTCCAACTGTTTGAAAATTCTATATATATTTACTTGTAAATAAATGTTGTTGTTGTTTACAAAACCTCATGTTATCTCTTGGATGCACCTTTACACTCACAGAACCATTAAATGCAAAACATGTTGTCTCACTAATGTTGTGATTCTCATAAGTTCATAACTGATATCTGACACATTTAAGACATTTACTTTAGCTTGCAATTCCTGTTAGGCTTTTTTCTATATAAAAACCACATTTTCAAAAACAGTTTTTAACTGAGTTTAAGAGAATAGGCTCTGCATTGACTACAATAGGCATAGAACAGAGACATCGACATACGTAACTCCTTTGTAATGCTTGCATTTTCACAAAAGTCAGTTATCTTCATCATTTAATAAACATCTTTTCTGTAACAACAATTGAAGGCTTTTGTTATACCATAAAATAAATGATTAAATATTAGAAGTCGTGTTTGCAGGAAGAAATACTAGTGTTTTTCTTAAAGAGATGTGTGTGCTGCAGTTTCTGTTCACTATCCCATTAAAAAAAAAAAAAAAAAAAGCGCTATTATTTGAGATATATAAGTTCTTGTGTGGTTATGATACATTTTCAACTCCTCTCAAACATCAAGGTTTTTTTTTTGCTTTTCTTGATAAGTAGTGCTGTCTTTTTAATTGCTGGCTCCATATTGCACATTAATAAAACAGTAAATTATTCCTTCAGTTTTTTTAAACCAACTGCTTTTTTTTTTTTTTTTTTTTATAATACTCATCTGTTTCAGCAGTGTTCTGTACTGCAATTCAATTTCATTTATAGTATAAGTTTTGAGTAGTTTGTATTCATTCAGCAGTCCAAGTTAAGTATCCTTTATCTAATTATCAGTTGCATGATGATCCTCTTCATCCTTCTCACTTTGCAATTTCTGATGAATAATATTGGATTTCTCTTTATCCAGCTTGTGAAACCATATGTCAGTTGATGTAAAATTCTCTCATACCATTTAATAATTAGTGAAAAATACTTTAGAAATTAAAAAATGTTTTAGCTTTATAGCCTAAAAGCATTCTAGAAAAGCAGTTTCAGCATCTCTCAATTTTGAGACATTTGCATTTTGTATTAGTTCTTTATTAATTATAATTCCTTGTTCAGTTGTGCACAACTCTGCAGTGCTGTTTGGGAAATCTCCAGTTTAAATGTAGTTTTTCTTCTGGCTGCAGTTATCAAGAACATAAATATCTTTTACAGATTTACCCTTTTCTTTAAGGCTTAAGTCTTTTTCCTTGGCATTTTGATGAATTACAAGTTAAATGCACAATAAATTTTACAAAATGCTTCTTTCAAATTTATTTAAGCTTTAGAATTTGCGTTTATAGGCAGCAGAAAGATTGCCTTTTATCTATTTAGTCAATCTGTCTCTTCATGATTACAAGTATGATCAATGCTTTCCTTGCTTTTATTTTAGTCTACACTTACCACTTCTATCCATTCAAAGGCTGTAATGTATGGTAATACTTAATAGCATTTAATGGCCTTTTTTTATAACTCTATCTGAATGTAATGTATCTGTCCCAAATGGAAGATTTTGAAGGTGAAAACCTTAAATGATAATTTCACCTCCTATCAGCTGTCATTTAAGAAGGAACCCTCACCCATTTATGTCTCTAGAGAACTGCTTTTTTTAACCTTGAGATATGCTGCAGACAAAGAACTCTGAAATCACTGTCACAGTTACAGGGACTGGAGGCGGGTGGGATTTCAGTCAAATCTGTGTTATTGAAGCATTACATGCCTGAATAAATAGTCCGCAATTATTTTAAATGGATGAATCTGAAAAGCTTTGATAGATACAAGCAGGACATTCTGGCACTGAGGAATCAGTCTTTTGCCAGTCTGAATTTAATAAGTGGTGAAAATGAGTTAAATAAATGGCAGTTTTTCTACTCATATTCCCCCCTCATTTTTTAGTTTCATTTCATTCATCTATTTTTTAGTTTAATTAACAGGCAGTTTTTCTATTATTTATTTTGGCTCCTGGAAATTTAAAAACAATAAGCAGTTGAGTTTAATATATGAAAAGTACTGTTTAATTTTAAAATATTTTTCTTTCTTTAAGTAAGTCTTGTTTCTTTATCATAAAAGCAGTTTGAGGGCTACTTCAGAATCAACCACATTATAAAAAATAATCATTGATTCTTATCCTTGTGCTTTTATTCAGGACAATTACTTTTTTTATTTTGTTTAAATTTTTTAGCATGTTAGATGTACTAATGAAGTAGATGCATTTTAAGTTATATTAATAATGTTTTTATGTGTGTTATAAATATAACTTTTTATAAGTGTGTTGTGTAGTATGGTATATTTTTCTTTGGTTGAAACAAGGCTAGGATAAGTAAAATAAATATAAAGTAAACAAATTAATTATTTACAGTAAAACAGATGTCCTTTTTGTATCATTCGTTCTTGTTTTCCATTGATATTTATTTTTGTTGAATTACTAATTTTTTTTTCTAGTGGTGTAATAGATGCTGAAATTGTCAAATTGTCATCTTTCATATTGAAAAATATATGGCATGCATTAAAGAAGTCAAACTCTGCTGCTGATGATGAACCCACATCTGCAGAAAACCTTGATTCGCTCGATGTGAAGAAGGACTCAAGCAATGACACTAATCACAAAAGGATGTACTCATCCTTTTTCTATGAATTTCAACTTGTTCTGTTTTGCTTTTTAAAGAAATTGAAGTAAGTTTTATTAATTTTCTCTTGTCATGCATTGTTAAGTATATACATAAGTAATCAAAACATTTATTTCATTTCACAGAAATAATTTATATGTTTTGTCAATTTTGTTATTCACTTTGAAGGTTTAGTTATTCAGTATTTAATAACATTTTAGCTGACAGTTTCAATGCATTTCTTCGTCTCAGATGCACCCATTTTGTTAGTGCCTTGGGAGTCATTCTTGTTCAAGTGCATTCCAGCTTTCTTGATCTGGCACCCATCTGATATCTGACTTTTTGTCAAAATGTATGTTGAGTGAAATGATGTTATCTGGATAATGCAAGAATAGCTGAGTGATTAAGGAAAAACATGATTTTCATGAATATTATGCATGAACTGTGGCCTCTTAGCCTAAGGAAATGCATCAAGTTTGGCTGGGATTATGTTCAAACTCATTAAGTAATAAAGCTAAAAAAAGTAGCAGTTATGGAATAATTTCTGTGATTTTTTTAATTACCTGATGTTGATTGCCAGGCTTTGCTCATAACTTTTGCCTGTTGTTAGTGAACATTTCCAGTAAGACTAAAAATAATGAATAAAATATGAATTTGATTCTGATTTTGAATATAATCAGAATTAATAGATCCTAGTTAAGATTCATGTGTTCAGTAGGGTTTTTTTTTTTTTTTTTTTTGAATAATTATATAGGGAACCTATGTGTATATTATTATTATTTTACTCTAGAGAAAAGTCATGTAGTATATTCATAAAATTCTCAAGTGTGCCCAAAATTCCTGTTATGAGTGTAATGTTACTGTATAAAAATTCAAACATTGCTATATTGGCGAGTGGTCGAACTTCATGTTTGTATGCACAAAAAAATTTGACTTTCGTTAAATTTAAGAGCTTCATATAAATAGTTATATGATTTTAAAAGTAATGAAAGAATTTTAGAATGAAGCAAATGTATGAATTAATTTAAATAGACTATCTCATTTTTTTAATTAGTGTAAATAAACAAAAAATTTTCATCATCTTGATCTGTATTCTAAGAAGTATGTTCGTATAATATAAAACTGTAAATATTGTATGATTTATATGATTGAGTACATTTATTTTTAATTTTCCCATTAATTATAGTTATTGTTTTAATAGAGGTAAAAAGCTAAGGAATTTAGGTGTTCTTTACAATAAGGCAAAAAACTTCACATTCATGCGAAGTATCTTTATTATTTTAACCCACACGCATTCCTCTGGCAGCATTAAAATCACTAAAATGGAACAGTCAATGCTGCAAGAAAAATTGAGTTTGAGAGGTAAAATTATTTTATAAGAAGTTTTCAACTCACCAATTTTTTTTTTATAAGAAGGAACAGTTTTCCACTTCTACTATCTTGAAAACAAAAAATACAGAAATAAAACCTCGTTCTGAATTATTTAGCTGATTCTTGATGCAAACTTGATGATCAGGTACATCACCCCCCCCCCAGTATAGGTCCTAAACATATTTGTAGTATCATTTAGAAATATCTCCCTTACATAATTAATTCAGAGTGTTGCATATGTATTTGTATTTTCTGCTTACCTAACAGTCATTACCTGAATTAAAATTAGCTTGCCATGGTAAATGTAATTATGGCTGTTTATTTATTAATTAAACAATTAGTACACAGTTATAAATTGTTTAAAATTTTTGTACATATGACACATTGTAATATAATTTTTTTAATGTTAAATTACTGACTGTTAAGAAAAAAGCATGTCATAGCACAACTTTTATTTGAAATTAGAATGGTACTTCAAGCATAATTATATGTTACAGCACAGCCACATTTAAGGAGCATCTATGGCCATATTTGCTTTATTATTTTGAAGTTAACTCTTTACTGCTTATATCTGTTAGTATTATGGCTGAAATATTGTTTTCTGCTTTTAACCTTCCAGCACGCACGTTTGGCAATTTTACATGAGCACGTGCGTGTCGTATTTTTACGACATCTATTATTTTACTGTTTTTGGCACGAAAAACGACAGAAATGAGTGAATATTGATAATAAATTTGTTACAAAATAAAATATTAATCTTATTATTGCAAAATACAAATGATATCACATTCAAATATAAGTAAATTATTTTTAAGTTCTTATGTTAGTGAGATGGAAATGAAATGATGTATTTCATTAGAGAAAATTTTAAATTTATTATTTAATAATTATATTTTAAAATCTAAGCTAATTTAAATATTCACCAAAGACAAGTATAAACAGTAAAAAAAGGAAAACACCTTGGAAAAAAAGTAAGTTTAGCATTACTTACTTCTGCAAGGAAATTCACTTCTTACTGGTTACATAAACACACTTTAAACTAACTTTAATGTTTGTATTTATTTCTAAAAAATAGAAATAAAAGAAAAGGAATGGAAAGGCAGTAATTTATGGAAATCGCTATTGTTCTCCCATCCAAAGGTTTCCTTGTCTTCCTTTTCTTCATCAGATAATTCTTGAAGAATCCGAGCAAAATCAGCTGGTTGCACATATTTTTTTGCGATGAAAACCGAAATAAAATTTACAGAGCCAAATGTATTCAAATTAAAATAAAACATGGCAATTAAAAACACAAAATTACAAAATATTTGAGGGGAAAAAAAGTATTTTCCGAATTTTAAAACACGACCAAGCGCGTGTCGTAAATTTTATGAAAAAGCTGCCAGGTAGCACAAAAGCCCAGTTAAAAAAAATTCAAATGACTTGCTGTTGGCACATTCCATGATGTGAGGAAGGGTAGAAAGGAGGAATAGAAATGACTTTTAGACATCTCATCTTTGATATGCAAAAAATGTGCATTAAAAACTGAATTTGTCGTAAATTTTGTGCATGCGCATGTGCTGGAAGGTTAACACATATGTCTAGGTTAAAAACCTTGAAAAATTATAAACAGAACAGTGCAAAACATATATGCTCACGTAGTCTCCGCTCGTTTTTACTAAAATGCAGATGCGGACATTACACTGGTCATTCAAATGTTGTGCCTTTTCTCATGAGTAACTTTGGGTGTAAATTTCATTTCAAACAGCCAAGTTAAGTTCTAAGTGAAAGAAAATGGCATAAGTAATAAAAGCATCAAATTTAAAGTTGTCTAATAGCTACCTAAAATTTACAAATTCACTTTCTCCCATCCACATATAGAATATAAATTACCCCGTTTGCATTATCAACACTCGGCGTGTATTAGCTCACTCAGGAGCACAATATAGAAGCACAAATTAACCAACACTTGCAGTTTTATTGTTTACTTTTATACAATTTAAATAAACATTCGTTCTTTTAATATCATGCACACATTATTTTTTAAAAAAGTCTATTCTGATGCACTGTATGAAAATCCATTTTGTTTCATCATTCGCCGCAACTAGCTTTCACCCTCCTTGAATTGCGATGTAGGAATGTCTTCTCGTGCCACAGCAAGTGCTCTTATTTGGGACATTACCTGCGTTACTGCATACCCTTGAGAACGCATATCATGAACATACACAACTGCTTTTTTTTTCCTCTGAAGTTTGGAAACTTACACAACTACGAAACGTACGTCTTGTTTTCTGCTTTCCCGCCAGTTGATCACGTTGTTTACTCCAGTTGCACACATACTTTTTCGTCCACCTCGTATACTCTTGCTGCTGCTCTTTTTCTATTTTCCTGCGCAAATTCTACGACTTTTAGTTTAAAACCGCTGTATAGCTGCTGTATTTTCATATTTCAAGCACGCTACATGCTAACTACCACGATTTCCAAATGATTTAAAATGAATGAAAAGAGAAAACTTAAAATATGCGAATGTTCTAAGGAGGAAGGAGGGGAAAATAATTTCATTACAAAACTGTATTTCCTGGAAGCCAATGAGGTGAAAACCTGTTTGGACTGCCTTCATTTATTATCGTGTCTGCCAAGTGGATTGCTGGCATTCATGTTCTGACTAAATAGCAACTGCACCAGAATACAAGGAGAGTCTCTGCTTTCCATCCTAGCGCTAAACAAATGCATATTCTTTCTTTAAAGATGTTTATTGACTAAAGGAGAAAAGGCGATGTTAAAAAAATATGTTTTAAAGTAAGAAATTCTTTAGTTTTTGTGGTGTGGTTATTGTGTGGGTCTCCCCCTTTTTTTACATAAATTTTATCTGTAAAGTAGGGGGTGCAGACATTACATGAGCATATACGGTATGCATTAATGGTAAAAAAAAATTCTTGTTATTTTGCATAGTGCTATGAAATCTCTTGGTTAAAACATAAGAAAATACTAGTTAGTTAGTGATTTTTTAATTCTATACATCATTTATAAACTTAAGCCTTTTAGCTCTAGATTTTTTAGACATTCTTCTCCCCAAAAAGAAAAAAAGAAAAAAAAAAAAAGAGCTTACAAAGTATTGTTTGTAGATGTTAGAACTACCTTGCAGAATATTAACTAGTTCCTATATGAGTTTTAGAAACTAGGATGTCATGCAGTTGCAACCATCAAGTCTCAATATAAGTAATCAATTGGAAAAACACTTGTGGACAAGCTGCCAGATGAGACCTTTATTAATAGTAAAATAATATCTATTAACGTTACGATAGACCTCTACATATGAAGGTGGCTAATGCCACTACCAGAGTTTAAAGGGTTAAATACTATTAAATTTATTTTGAAAAATAATTACATTTAAAATAAAGTTCTCATGAAAACTAAGCATTTCTGGAAGATTGATGACATTCAAAAAGTGATTAAAGAGCATAAGAAATCTGCATCCAACGGCTTAATTTGATGAAATTATAAGTCATTAATTGAAGCATTGACATTGAAACAAATCTTTTATTAAAGGCCAGTAGCACTGACGTTGAAATCAAGTAAAGTTACAAAAATTCGTTTTGCATTGCAGCAGATCTTTGATTAAAGGCCAGTAATGTTGTAAAGGAATTAAGTGCATAGCTTGTATCATTTAGTCTTAGGGTGTCTCCAGAGGTGAAACTGGTAGCAACTCGCTACCTTTTGGCATTGCAAGGGAGGTACCTATTGAAATTTCCCAGCATTAAACATGTGAATAATCTCACCTTCTCTTTTCATTCTCACATGACATTGCCAGCTCTTGTGGTCCTTGCTTATCATTTTTGACGTCGGTTGCTCTCATTTTGTAGGAATATTTCAAAGATTCATGTTTTTTGTGCTCCAGAAAATGCCGCATGCTATGAAAAAGAAGGAAGGCCTGCCAAGTCTGTTGTTTAAGGCTACTTGCAAGTATAAATACCAGTGTCATTCTCTTCTTCCTCAAGATTTTAGGCAATTGTAATTGGAGTTCACAAAGGCTCAATGTATGTTTTTAATGAGTCACATAAATCTCATTTCAGAAGGCACGTGTCATACAAGTAAAAATGAAGATGGAGAAATAATAATAAGCACTAAATAATGAATCTTGGCTGCCTAAGCAAAACGAAGGGTACAAGTTTGCAACAGTACATTTAAAGCAATTTTCAGAATTTCAAGTAAAAATAATAGTTTGATAAATCGTTTGAAAAAAGCAGATTTGGTTTTTAAGTATTGCTGTGGGGAAGCAGTTTGGGTTTCACTGATTCAAGTACTCAAAGAATAGCATACAACTCATCAAAAGTCTTATCCAATCATTCCCAAGAGACAAAAGTCATTATGGCAGACAGAAGTCTTCAAAGGAATACTTGAGTATCAATTATATATTGCATTGAAACAACAGATTCATCTATTGATGGTAAATTTTATAGGTGAGTTTTCAAGAAATCATTTCCATGGTTGAGTTTTAAAAGGCCAAGATCTGACATGTTGTATACGTGACTCATGTACTGCAAAAATAAAATCCTCTGTAGGAATAGACAATTGTCCATTGATCACAAAATAAGAACTTCACCAAAGAAAAGCATTGAAACTTCTCTCTGAGTCAATACATAATAGTCAGTACCTATTCGCTACACATTCCACTTTGTCCATCGACCTGCAGCAGGTGTTGTTCGCTCCAACATTGACAGACAGCAATATGTTTTACTCAAGACAGCTGTCCAACTGCAAGTTTTGTGTAGAAGGTAGAACAGGAAAATGTTTTATATGCTTGTGGCATAAGGATATGGCTGCAAAGGGAGGCAATGAAGTTGCCTCGTCCAAGATATTGACATCTCAGATGATGAACCCAAAGAAAACACTTGGAGACATAGCATGACAGTTGCGTATTCTTGTCTCCAGTCACTCCTACATGCTGTGTAATTAGACTTCAGAGTTACAGAAAAACAAAACAAGGTCTGTAGGAACATGATTCCTGAAGAAATACAAGAAATTGTTAGAACCACCAGAGCAAAAAATCCGATCAGCATTGTCAGAATGAAGGAGAAATATTTCTTGGATGGACTTCTCGCTGTTGGATGAGTACTATGATGAGTACTTGAATACAGGGCTTGTTAAATTTTATCAACTTTTAACATATTTAAAATTTATTTCTTTAATAGGATAAGTTAATTTTCACTTACCTTCTAAAGGGCTGACCTGAAAACTGTCGTTCCTTCTTTTGAATTTCACTGAAGTCCTTTTAATTTCAGTAAACTAAAAGGACTTCAGTGAACTTCAAATCCATGCACTGCTGAACTCGAATATATATATTTTTAAAATTTTACTATTAACATATAAAATATGTATACACAATTAATATTTACAAATTAATCAATATGAGTATCGTGTTTTGGATGAATACAAAGAAGGTCTTTGTTTTTGTCTAATGTTAGACACAACACTTGTTCTACTGAGTTCTTTTGTTTTTTCCATGAGAGGGCGTCCATGCTTGCTGTGTTATTTGTAGGCAAACATGGCAGAGCTGTTTTGAATTTCAAACAAATCCTGGATCTGAATTTCTCAACCTTAGCTACCCAGGATTGAGGCAAGAATAGCCTTCAATAGAATGGAACAATGGGAGGAGTTTTCAAGAGAGGAAAATACATCGCATTCAAGAAAATAAAAGAATTTCAGAAGAACCATAAAGTACCTGCTATTTATGAAGCGTAAAAGAAAGACCTTCAGATGCTTGAATTTTTGCCGCCGAAGTACCATGTTTTTTTTAATGATGCTTTCATGTTAATATTCGTGTTTTGAGAGTTTGTTTTGAAAATAAAATTGTAGACTCAATAGTACAGTTTAGCAGTTATTTTCATTAATTCCAGTCATTTTTCCTTCTTCTGTAAAATTATGTTTTTGTCATTTAACTCTTTTTCAGTGTAAACTCTTCAATTATTTTACTTTAAAATCCCTGTGAATTCAAAAAATACATATACTAAATAGCAGAATTCCTGATTTAAGAACTTACTACTTCGGCTCAAATTTTTGAAGATAATGCATTATATTATTATGTTTAAACATTGAAAAATAATAACTGTTTTGACATGCTTAAATTTTTCTTTTTTGTTTTTCTATTTGAACTTTTATGTAAATTATAGTTAACAAATTATTTTGTTTTCTTTATAGCTTTTTAGAAGGCCCTTCACTAAATGCCTACCTTTCAACTTTTCTTCATGTTCTTAACCATATGGAAAATTCTGAAGCATATTATGTAAAATACAGGTTGTGTCTGCAACATGTCATAATAATCCATGAAAAATGGCAGGAATATGCAGAAAATAGGAGCAAAAACTTGCAGTCCGGAGAAAGTTCTTCAGAAAGTACAAGCATGCATAAATGCTTTGAGATTTTTCCAAAAATTATTCTCTATTGGCAGCCTGTGTGGAATGGCAAAGATGAACAGTTTTTAAATTTACAGTCAATATGTATTTTAAAAATAGCTCATCTAATGCTTCAGTTTAATGACATTCAGAGTAGTAGTAGTGATTCATCATTTTGTGAAAATACTTTGTCAAAGTGGTTATATAAATGTTTTAAAAAAGATAAAAATTTTAAACTTGTTAGACATTTTCTTTCCCCAGAAGGAGAAAACTGTGTAAAACTTATTTTAAAGCAGTTTGAAAAGTCTCAATATGTGAAAAAAAGTAGAGATAATGACAAAGGAAATACTTGTGCAATTCTTATTCGAAAAGAAAAAGAATACTGGAAAAAACTGTTACTACAGTTTAAAAAGGCTTTGAGGAATTTGGACATTGATCACAGCTTTCATTTTCTGAAACAAGTGTGTGATATATTATGATTTTAAAATGCATTTATGTATGCTTTTGTATAAATGTAAAAATTACTTATTGAAAACTATTTTAAACATTTTTTTTTTAAAGTTTGTTCTTTTCTTTTTTAAACAAATGTGCATGGAATTTGCATCCCATATAGGTATTTGTATATAGGCATTTATAATTGTTTTTAGAAGTATAGTAACTTTATCATTGTAACTGTGATACTTAAAATTTCAGAATCAAGTAACAGTCAAAAGTCTTTAATCCATAATCCGGAATGATCTATAATCTGGACCTCAAAGCTACAAACTTTCTGCGCAGCGTTTACGCATGCGCATAATACCTTTACCCTTATGCGTTTAATGTATAACAGAAGGTATAAGCTAAGCTAAAATTATCTAATTATCTATTTCAGTTAATGTTGCAGATAGCATTGTTCCTTAATCTTCGAAATGGATCCGGCTTATTATTTTTTGCAGACTGTTAGAGCAATTTTATAAAAGTAAGCTTGAACTTTCGATTATGTCAAAAAGAATTTTCGATTCTGGAGCTGCCAAAGGATCTACAAAGCGAAAGCATGTTTCGGTGTCCATGAAACAAAAAGTGGAATTGCTGCAAAAAATGGATAAAAGCATAATCCTTTGTTTCTCTAACCATTCCGAAATCTGTTTATCAATTTCACGTTGCTCTGCGGGGGGGGGGGGGGACATCGCGGTGCACAATGAACTGGAAGTTGATCTGTCAGCACTATCCTTATCTTCAGGGTACATGTTTTTATTTTATTCGGCGTATAATTCCTTACTAAATGTAGTATTTCATCTCGGTGTACTCCGTCTTTGATATGATTTAAATCAAATTCCTCGCCATTATAAATATCACGAATACACATCAAATAGTTTTCTGGTTGCAATTTTCTAATTTTGACTATGCGTAATGTATGCTTTGCGCATGCGTGCAGTGAAACATCGCGGTGCGCAATGAACTGGAAGTTGATCTGTCAGCACTATCCTTATCTTCAGGGTACATGTTTTTATTTTATTCGGCTTATAATTCCTTACTAAATGTAGTATTTCATCTCGGTGTACTCCGTCTTTGATATGATTTAAATCAAATTCCTCGCCATTATAAATATCACGAATACACATCAAATAGTTTTCTGGTTGCAATTTTCTAATTTTGACTATGCGTAATGTATGCTTTACGCATGCGCGCAGTGAAAGAAATGTTTAATAAAGTAAACAAATAAATATTAAGCTTTTTTTTTGTAAATTTTGATAACCTTTAGATCATAATTGCTCTTTATTTCATAAATTACAGTTTCATATTTTTAATTTTATAATTTCTGCATGCAATCTTACCAGATCTAAATTGATGATATATAATCTGGAAAAACCGATAATCTGGAATCGCCAAAGTCTAGACGAGTCCAGATTAAAGACTTTTGACTGTACTGGTTTAATGCAACTCCCACAAATTTTTCCTGATATGCTAAACATCCTCTGAATTGAAAGATGGAAAACTTACCTGCAATGTGCATTACTAACTACATTAATTTCAATGATAAGATCTTTTAGCAGATGAAAAGAATTCCAGTGGTAGCGAACAGTTCTACACAAATATATAACCTATTTCTTTTTGCTAATGAATATAAATTCCAACTTAGTTTGAATAAGAATGAATTAAAGTTATTTGCAAATACATTCAGATACATTGATGATGTTTTAACTTTCAATAATAATTCTGCTTTTAAATAATTCAAAATTTACCAAAATAGTTTAACACTTAATAGAACTAATACAAATCAAGATAATATTGAATACTGGGGACCTGCTCATAATTAAACACAACAAAATTAAATTATATTGTAAAAGGAGGACATTCCACTTTGAAACTATTAAACTAATTAACTGGAACTCTAATATCTCTAAAAAAGTAATAGAATTATAATAATAGAATAAATAATAGAATTAATAAAATAATAGAATTAAAAATATATGTACTGAAATAAAAGATTTAAAGGAAGAAATAATAAAACTTATTAATGTTCAAGTTAATAACGAGGTCCCAAAACATTTTATTAAATTCTGTATAAAAAAGGCCGGCATTAACTTTTCATTTAAATTTTTTAACTCATTTAACATTTTATGGTATGATAATAATATTTTAAACCTTAACTGGAGGGTAATGGAGGATTTTGAAGAGTTAATGGGTTACTTATAAATATTGTTTAATTATTAATTAATTTTGTAAAAATGTATATTTTCTCAGTACTGAATTCTTTTCTTTTACTAATGAAGGGCCAACTCTTTTCAAAAGTCTCAATTATATCCCAAATTGAGTGAAGATTTTTATCTAATTTTCCTTACCTTTGGCCAGTATTTAGTTAAAGTTTTGATTAAATTTGTAACTTCAGCAGTGGCGTGGTGAGGGGGGCCAAAGGAGTGTATGATGCCTAGGTGACACTCGCAGAAGGGAACCAAATGGTCTCCAAACAAGATTTTCATATCACCATGTTTTTTCCAAGGGTACCAAAAAGGTATTTTGCCCCGGGTGCCAGTTATGCTCGCTAGTCCACTCAACTTCAGTTTAAATAATGCAATCTAGTACAAAAAAATTCTTACAATTATTCTATATTATTTTTATTTTTATTTTATTTTACTAAAAAAAATTTTTTTCAAAATTTTTACATCTTTAGTAGTTTGCAACAATGCCTCAAAGTTAGTAACATTTTCGTACACAAAACAAGCATTTTACATTTTACATTATTAAAGTTTACAGCATAGGTTTCTTACAAAAGCTCTCACAGGTAGCAGTTTTACACTCAACTTTACATTGTATTAGTGTATTTATACAGTTAGCAGTAACAAACTACTCAACTTCACGTAGTTTAGCAAATGCTAGTCCAACTCAGGAATTCAAATATGTAGTACTAGGTAAGTTAAATTAAAACTTGCTATTTACTAGCCTTTTTATTACCATAATTATTATTTATATTTTGATAGATTGTATATAGTTTATTTTAGGTTTACATGCATAATTTGTGTAGGGGTAGTTTCCAGTAGTCAAGAGTTTCTAAATTACTTTGGTTTTCTACTCATAATTGACATTTAATTAATTTTAATTATAGTCATTTTCTTGCTAATTTCTCAAAGATCCACTAGTTAAAAATTTGTTTTTAGTAATTCACAACATTTGGTTTTACTTTTACTCTTGCCTATATGGATGACGAAACACGAATTGAGTAATTGAAGAGTTAGGTTTGGAGGCAATTTCCCATTGATAAGTCTGTCTCCTGCCTGCTCAACAATTATTTACTTGTGCAATTTTTTGGAATAATGTATTTTTCATGGTTTTACATACGCTCTTAGAATTTAAATGATATTGTAAATCAGTTTGCAGCAATAATAATTTTTATTTATTTATTTATTTATTTATTTTTGCTATTAAATTTTCTTAATTTAAATTTTAATTTTATATTAGCTTTATACGAATAAAAAATATTTTATAAATTCAAATTTCATTCCTTGCAGCAATGGCACAAGAGAATTATTTAAATTTAATTTAACTTTGCTATATTCTTGTAAAACAATATATATATATACACTAAATATGACATCCTGTTCATATTTTAATTACGTACTCATATGTACAAATTTTCATCACATGCATAATATGGCATCTTGTGCAGAATAGAAGATAGCACCAGCAAGATGTACATTGTGCCAAAAAAAAGGGGGAGACAGTTGTATATTTCCGGTTCTACTGGGCCGATTGACAAAATTCAAATTGCATTTTTCATGTTTCGAAAGCGCGACTTAAGATATCTATTAAATTTATATATAGCATTGTTATAATATTTCTTGCACAAAATCGGACTTTTTCTGAAATGACATGCCAATTTTTTTCCAGATTTCGATTCTACGACTCAAATTAGGCCAAACTGCTAAGTTTTATAAAAGTCGCACAAGTAGTTTTTTTTTTTTTTTTTTTTTTTTTTTTTTTTAAATAGCTCCCAAAATTTTAGCTCCTTAATGTTAATTGAGTTTGGTATATATTTGTTAATATCTCCTTTTTTTTATTAAACTTATTTGATTCCTCTTTACATATTTCGAAATTTAGGTTCATTCCAAATAAAATTCTCCCATTTTTTATGATTTATTTTTAAAATTTGTGTTTTGAAATAATTTTTATAAATTTTTCGAAATATTTTGAATTATAGCCTATAAAGTTTTTAACATCATCAAAGTAGTTGTATTTCTAGACAAAAATGCAAAAAATTAGAGTTTTTTAATTCAAAATTTTCTGACATATACATGAATTTACATATTGGCGTGTTTTGAAATTTGTCATAACGCCAAATGTAGTGTACGAACTTTGTTAAAATTATTCGAAATTATTTGATTATATTATTATTTAATATATTAAAGAACCTTGATATGAAAGTATGAAGGTTGACTTTTTTTTCCCCACTCATCTACAATAAAAAAAAAAAGGAAAATAGGTTGCCATAAACTCAAGAAGTTCGTCAAGTGAATTATTCTTTTGCGAAAACTGGAAAAAACGCGCCAACATAAATTTTTGAATTTCTCCGTACATTTCGCACCAAATTTTACAAAATTTAATATTTAGGCATAATTTGAGTCGTAGAATCGAAATATGGAAAAAAGTTGGCATGTCATTTCAGAAAAAAACAGGGTTGCCATGCTACCGGGAAAACCGGAAAAAGTCAGGGAATTCGGAAATTGACCAAAAATTTCAGGGAAAAGTCAGGGAATTTAAGTGTTTTAGTCAAAATCTGGAAGTCAGGATTCATACAACGATCGCAAAAGGCGAGTTTGCACCGACGCGGAGAATACTTTTTGGCAAGGTATCCGTGAGTTCATTCGGGCAGTGAAGAACAATTTGCAGCTCATTATTTCTTTTAGTGTGTGTGTGATTATGGCAAAGCCTCGAGGGCTATCTGCCTAAGAGGAGGGATGCCTTCGTGGAGGACTTTCTAAGGGAAACTGGCTCGTTTTTAACACGTTACACATGGGGAAAACCACGAAAACGCCCATGCAGCCAGCCCGTTCGCGGGATTCAAACTCGCAACTACCAGTGTTCA